GAATGCTGGGAAATTACCACTGGAGTAAAAGTTTGGTACAAGTGCAGCAGCCTGAGCTTCTGACCAAAATTTTATTTATGGCTGTGCCCAGTTGTTGCAGTCGAGACAGACAAAACTACAGTTGAGATGGACAAAACTACAAGACAGATTATTCTTTAAAGCAAGTTAACACAAAAGCTAAAAGCCAAAAGCAAAAAGCCCTTATAGCTCTCCTCCTTTGTTCCTTTATACTTTTTCTACAGGGTGTACAGACTTTCCAGACCACCTACCAACACGCCCCTTCATGTATATGTTCATACATCGCATGTTCATGGAAATGAACCCTGGCTCTTGCCAGGACAGAGAAGTTAATATGCATAAGCTCATCACACAAGCGTAGTAAGATGAAAAGTTCAAAAGTTCAGGCTCCCAAGCTTTCTAGTATCTCTATCCACCTAAAACTACTTCCAGGTACAGGGTTATATCAGTCCTTCCGATGTGTTTCTTTTCCTAGTGGTTCAGAGTTGTTATGCTCTCTTACTGCAGTTGATAAGCTTGCTCATCTTGCAGCTCCTCCTGTTCTGGATTGCTCTCTCAGGGATAGTTTGGAATCCTTTCAAGGTCGAAGTCGTTCCTTCCCAGGGCCTCAGTCCAGCTGAGGTCCCAGATCCCCCTCACCTGCTCATGACTGAAAACAACATGTAATATGCTCCACAAATGTAGATGGTGTCCACTCCCTGATACTACTGCTGCTTTGTGTCTGACTTTGTTCCTTATGCCAGTAATATACCCAAATTCAGCAGAATGACTTGGGTCAGCAACATTCAAGGCCCAAAGACTGGACCTCTGTCTGGTCTGGTTTGTATTGTATGCACACCTGTCATCATATTTCTCTTAAGCTTGTTTTCCTCTTACATTTTCAGCTGCTTAAAAGGCAAGCAAGAACAAGCATTAGAGGTAGATGGAAACCCTTCAGGGAAATCATTCTGATTGCTCAACATTCATGAGATGAAAGCATCCTGCATACATTTGACTCACTTGGGTTATATAAAAGCAATATTCACCCATGAGGTAGTTCAGATATTACCAAACACAGGATGTTTTTAAAAATTGTTTCTGTGTACTTTGGATGATAGCAAAAGAACATGCTATCCTTGAGAAATGCTTTCACTTTTGGGGAGAAATGAAAAAATCAGTTTAACTTCTGACTTTGAACATAATTATATTACACAGCTCTCAAATTGCCTGCACAGCTTTTTATATGATGTTTAGACAGAAAGATCTATGCAGAGCCTTTATGAACATATTAACGTGCATTAATGTTTTACTTTATTGTAAAAATAATGTAAGCTACTTTTTGTCCCACCAGTAGCTACATTTTAGGAATTGATCATTCCTGTTCAGGTGCAATAGTGAAAGGTGCTAGTGGCTGCCCTGCCTTTAAGACTCTTTGATGCGAAGATTTTCACAACCCCAGACCAGTGTTCACTGGCATGGGAATTTTAGAAGCAGTGACAGGCAAGACACTGCTAGGCCTCCCTGTTCATTCCTACTCTTGGTGAACACCAGGCTGGCTGTACCGACGCAACCGTGTGTGAGATCATACTATAAACGCTATGGCTTAGCTTAGGTCAAGTTCAGAAGCGCTCCCACAGAAGGACTGGGGGGGCTGCTACTTTCAACTGGGTTTGATCAGTGCTTTGGGTGCTGCCATCCAGAAGACAGCTGCATCTTCAGCACTAAGGCCTACAGTACAGGGCATGGCAAAAAAAACAAACCCTGACAGCTGTTGAAGCCCCAACTCCTAAAATTAGAGCCCTGGAACCTTTCTGTAGATCTCTAATTGCTGTGCTGAGACGGTCTGTGCTTAAAAAACAGTGAAGATGTTCCTTGTCTGCCAAGGTACAGAGGTACCACAGAGCTCAAGACTGAGGTAATGAACAAGGATGGAGAGGATTCTAAAATACTGAATAAAAATAGTACTCAACACCAAGTCTCCAAAGTTTTTCCAAACTACCTACAAACATTAATTTCATCAGTCACATGACACTTCTGTTGGAACGTAAGTGATGATCGTGGTGATTTTTCTGGGTTGAAGCAGAAGCCCAGGGTACTTTAATTTACTTTTTAAAATTGTGATGTGAGCCAGGGCTGAGAATAGCATAAAAACTGATTTATGATTAGGTCACAAAACTACCCTTTCATAAACATTACCATGTCTTTATATTATGACTATGTCTGAGCAACTACTACTCAATACTGACATGGAATGCAATTAGCTTGACAAATATTTATGTATTTCTGAGGCTGGGGTGAATCAAGAAAGGAATGAAGGGTGTTTCTTGTGGTGAAAGACTAGCCTGGAACTAAGGGGTTTAATTAAGGTCTTTGCCTTAGACTTCCTGGACCATTTCAGACTGGCTTTTCAGAATCGTTATGTATTCATAGTGTTGACAGACTGTAGCTGGAGTTGTGCGCACAGGAGCTCTGAAAATCAGTCTCTCAAGCTCACAGAATACCACAGTACTACCAAATACTGATTACTTCAGTAGCACATTACTTACAACTTCTCTTTATTCCTCTTGCATGTAGGGTCCTTTTCTTTGTTTTCCAGTTGTCTTTTGTACTAGCTCCACTTCTCCTCTAACTCCAGTGGTCTTTCAATGCTCTTTGGATTTCAGCACTTTTGTCTTAAAGAATTCATCTTAATACCTGTCTGGTTTACACTGCTTGAGTTCCTCATACAACCTTAATTGCTTTAATGTTGAATTATTAAAGTCTCTCCAGCAAAGAAAGTAAGTATCTCTTGGAAACCTTGAAATGCCCACGTGCCTTGTGCCTAGTATATAATGGGCAGATTAATTCCAAGCTATAAAAATAAATAGCTCTCTTTGTTCTTAAAAGGATTTGGATTGAGCAGAGTTTCTTTCTAAGGATATGACTTCTTAGTATTGAAGTCTGAAAATGAAACAGAAAATACATTATCTACACATGGTTAAAAATTATCAACTTTGGTAGTCTCAATTTAGCTGCTCCTCGAGGTTCTATTTACCCAGTCTTCCTGCATGAGGTTTATGTACTTCATGTTAGGTTTTTTTAGCTAATACAGAAGAACTCCAAAATTAAACCTGTCATAGGGAGAAGAGAGGGCAGTGAGGAAACTTCATATACCTAACTGAACAGCTCAAGGGGATTATTCCAAGTAGCATGAATAATTACAGGACAGCAGTCTCTACCCCTCCCAAACCACACTCCCCTCTGTGATAGTGCTGTGGTTTGCAGTGACTGCCCTTGTGCTGGGGAATTCTGTGATGTTTTCACATGGTCTTACAAAAAATTCCAGCCCACTGATTTCTGCACAGCTTGGCTTGTTTGGTTTACCAGAGAAGGTTTTTAAAACTAGTATCTTATCTCCTTTCTATGAATACTAAAAATCTCCAATAGTTTTCTGGAAGAGTAGGGTTTAATCCTGCTATGCTTCGCCAAAATTCCTCCTACATGTTTATGTCAACGCTGCTCTTAGATCTATACAGCCCTGTCACTTCCACTCTAGATGTGGCTACATCAGATAAGTGATGGGGTGTTTTCAAATTTCAGGTAATGTTGCATGTACACTAAAGGGAAAGGTATGTTCATAACATAAACAGAGTGTAACAGAGATCACAACAAACACATAAAAAGGCAGGCATTGTTTTGGAAATTGTGATGAGAATCCCTGCTGGAACAACTGGTAGGTTTCAGGGAGGATACAACAGGAAGTGAGGGCAACAGCCCTTAATCAAGATCTTCTTTCCGAGTGGGAGATTGTCATGGTGTGCAAAGGTGACAGATGAAGAAAGAAGAGGGTGTACCTGAAGAAGGAAACACGGACTGTCAATAACTATGGTAAAAATGGGCTGAAGCTTAGCAAAACTTCCATAATGAGGAATAATAACTGCAATTAAGAGGTAGAGGTGAGTGAGAGCTAATAAAAGAATTCAGCACTGGAATGCAGTGCAAGTCTAAATATAACTGGGGGAGGTATATGGGCTTTAGACCATGTGGTTATTGCTAAATGAAGCAAAATATGCTGTTATGTCATATGGCTGTGCTATTATACTCTTACACACATACACACACACACTCTTAACTACTTTCCTTTGTGAAAATGGCAGGCAAATGTCATGATGTTCTTCTACTCTTGGCATGCTATCCCTTCCACGCAGCTTGCAAAGACCCAAATCTCCTTTCATTAATTTTTCCTGGTCTTATCTTCACTCTCTGCTCCAACAAACCACCTCTAACACACCTTCTTTTTGAGTATTATTTTCATACTCAAAGAAGTAATATTTTGTCTTGAAGTGAGAAGGCTGTGGTTCAGCTGCTACGTGCAACAGGTGTATCAGATTAGCTCAATCCAGAACTGCTTCTGCCTCCTTCTTAACAGGTTGTGCTCATGGACACTTTGTCACACTGTTCCAGTGGGGCATTCCCAGGTCTTCTCAGGGAAAGAATATTTTGCAGTTGTCTACTGTGGCATTCTTTATGTATTACCTAAAAAGCCGCTGCTGGAGCAACTGGAGTGCATCCTTAATCCCTCATGGCTAGGAAGGTGGAGGTCAACGGTTGTATTTTTTTAGAGTGATGGCGTAAGCAGTGCTAGTAAATTGCTACCCATCTCAGGAAGCCTATTCATTGTATTATTAAACACCCTAACGCTATAAAATAAAAGGTTGGCAAGCATGAAGTTTTCACTCTGGTAGGAGAAAATGCAATTTTTCAATAAAGTGTAATGAAAGACTTTGTACCGCTGTAAAACCGCGAACGCGGCGCATTTTTAACGACCCGAGGGTTTGGTTGGTTGGGGTTTTTTTTTTGTTTGTTTGTTGCTTTTTTGTTTGTTTTTTAACGAACGCTGGCAGGCGCTTCCCAGCACGACAGGAGGAGCTCTGCAGCCGCTGCCCACCCCCAGCCTGCCCTTCCGCCCGGCCCCCGCTCGCCGCCTCCCTCCCTCCCTCCCCTCCCTGCGGGCCGGTACCAGCCCGTCGGGCCGCGCCGCCTCCCCGCGCCCCGGCCTGCCTTCCCGCCGCCGCCCGGGCCCGCCTACGGCGCCGCGGAGCCCGAGGCGCCCGTGACGCGTTTTGGCGGCGGCGGCCTCCCAGGCCCCAGCGGGCCCGGCAGCCATGGCGACTGCCGCGCCCGACTACGAAGCGGCGGAGCTGTACACCCGCGCCTTCGGCGTGGGCGCCCTCGGCCGCTGCTGGCGGCAGGAGCTGGGGCCGCCCGACCTCTCGCTGGCGGTGGAGGGGGCGGCCGGGGCGGCCGCGGCCGTAGCGGCGGAGCTGGGCTGCGCGGCGGAGACGGCGGCCGAGCTGCGGGCCGTCTGCAGGTGGCTGCGGGGCTGGCGGCGGGCGGGCGATGGCGGGGGGAGGCGCGGCCCGCGGCGCCCGGCGGGGCTGCGCCCGCCCCAGGGAAGGGCCGACACCGCGGGCGCTCGCCAGCCGGGGGGACCCGCGGCCCCCATCCCCGCGGGAAGCTTTCGGCTGAGCTCGGCGCCGGAGCGGGGGGGTCCGCCGCGGCCTGGGGCTGGTGGCTGCTGGCGCTCAGGCGCTGCCCCGGTTCCTCGGGAGAGGCCGGAGGTGCCCGGGCGAAACAGCCCCTGAGCGGCCTTTTGCGGGGCTGTGGCATGGGGAGACTTTTGTCCCCCGGGTAAATCTGCGGCGGCGAAGGAAAATACCGTTTTTTCTAGAGCGTAGCGTTCCACTGGCGGAAACTTTATGTTATGGCCTCGAATTCACCAACAAACAGTTCAGCGCTTAAACGTTTCTTAAGTAAATACTTAACAGCATGTTACTAGTTAGGTAAAACTTAAGCTATCTGAATGTGCACGTGGTTTTAGGAGGCCCCAGTTGCAAAATGAAAGGCATGCCTCATTTGAAGAAAAAGAGCCAGGTGTCATTTAGGTGAGTGCTTATAACTGGCAACATACGTCAACTGTTCAGCTTGTTTGGGCCCATGGCCTCTACTAACTTCTGTCAGGGCTAGTGGTGAAGTAAAAGCTGTGCAGGATAGTGCTGTTTGACCAAGCCGCCTGGGTGGCACTCGGGCAGGGAGAGAAAAATCGTTGTTCTGTGCTTGTAGCTTCACTCCTAGTTGCGGACTGTGAGTGAATCACAAACTAGCGTTGAAAGACAGGGGAGAACCACCTAGGGGTTGAAGCAATGGGATCTAACATGCTAAAACTGGAAAGCTTTCGGGTCACATGAATAGCGAGAACCACCTCTCACCTGTAGGAAAGGCCTGATTTCAGGCAGTAATTCCTTCTGGAAGGATCCCAGTTGATGATTTGCCAGAGTTCTGTTGCTATCTGTATAGCTTTGTGGAAGTTCTGTCCTTCAGTTGCTGTTCCCTCAAAGGCACAGAAGTATTGACAAGCTATTTCAAATGCAGGATGGAGGTTGTTCACTTTCATGCACTGAATAGAATGAACATAGTCTCAGAAGTGATGCAGAAGGCAAAACTTGGTAAATGTAGCTAGAAATTGAGCTCTTGTTGATGTCTTTTCCTTCAGTGCAAGTGCAAGATGCAGATAAAGAAATGCAGGTTTTGTGTCATGAACATGTCCTTCTAATGTTCTCAGAGTTATACCCCAAATTATGGGGATAACATGACAGCAAAACCAAGATTAGTAACACTACTTGAGATGAAGTCATTATCTGGACAAAGTTAATTTGATAATTATAGTTCGTTTAAATGATGATGGAACCTCAGAGGAAGGTAGGAGCATTTGTTGCTTTAGTAAAAGGCAAGGAACAAACATAAAGTAAGAATAGGAGCACAGAGTTCAGTGTCTGAGCCAAAATATACCTGCATGAGTGTTGTGTGTGGTGATGAGAGCTCAGTAAGCCATTTGGAAGTCAAGACTTCTAGGGGCATTTTTATTCAGGAAGAAGTCAACACTTACTGAATTATATTTTGCATTGCCAACACAAGAAATTTGCCAGGCATTCTCAGTTTTTCTAATGCCAGTTTAACTAAAACAGTGCGTTACTTCAGCTGTCATAGTTCTGGTGACTAGAACAATTTTTTTACCATTACTAGGCTTAGTAAAGGTAGGGGCTGCTGTTAGTGTTTGAAACAATTCATGTGTTCTGGTGTGGCAGCAACTGTGAGAATTACTCTGTAAGCTTTCCCAGTGCAGATGTAGTCTCTGACTGCTCCAATGCCATGGCATTTTCTCCACAGTGACCCTGTTTCTCCAGCCTCTCTATTGCTATTTTCACTTGAATTCCAAGCAGATTTTTTAATGCTTTCTTTATTTTTCCCTTAATTCATTCTGCTTTTTCTTTTGTTCTGCTTTCTTCAATCTATGACTGCTACGTTTCATCTGCTGTCTGAATTTGTTGGTGTTACAGAGCAGTACTGTCTGTTTCCTGCTGGGTACTGTAGAAAGTAAGTGGTGCTGTGTAGTGGAAAGGTTTGGGAAAGAAAAGAGAAGAAGAGAACGGATTATCTGGCAGCTGCTTGTTGGCTTTGCAGGAGAATGAAGATAAACCTGCACATCCTGGTGTGACCTTTCCCCCATGCAGTCTGGAAATCCCAGTCCCTAATCTCTGTGTGCTTTTGGTTTTAAATTAAATAGTCCTAGCCTCTTGAGTCTCTCCTTGACATTGGCTAACCTCAGATTGCTGCCTCTGATCACTTTCACTTGCCTGCTCTAAGCTACTTGTATTCTTCGCTTGAGAAGAAATGAAAACACTGGACTACATCAAGATATGTTCTGTGGTGTCTTGGGGTCACATTTATTATTAATATAAATACAGTTTCTAGACACTGAAATGAACATATCCTGGATATAAACACATATTTTTCTGACTGTGAACTACTTGTAAGGGAACTTCTGGCAAGATAAGGAGGTTTTCCTTGGGAAGAAGAGAGATGGGAAGATGTGGATACTCCTCCTATATCTATTTTTGAAACAGTAATAGGCTAAGAGAATCCCTCATAGACTCAGGTTGAAGTTTTTCAGTATCCATAGTTAAATCTTTTTTAGAATAAAGTGACATAGTATGTGTTTAAGTATTCTTGCCAATTTAGACTCTAATTGTGAGGAGAAGTGGTATAATGTTTAAATGCTGTTTAGCTTTTTGTGCATCTCAGTGTGTTGTGGCTGATTTTTAATTTTTTTTTTTTTCCTTCTGTTTTCTTCTGGTAAGACATTGCTGCAAACTGAATTCAGGAAAAAAATTCCATCATTACTCACTTGAATTTGACTCCGTAAGAATGCTTTACATGCTGCTCAGGTGGTATGCACACAATCACAGAGATTGCTTGGGATTTCATCAGATTTTAAACACCTGTAAAATTCTGTCCTTAGCTAGGAGATTCCATCAGTACTTCTCTTAAGTAACCAAGGTGTTGGGAGGGTAAAGTTTTAACTTTTGTTCAAATGCCTTAGTGGTTTGTGAGCAAAGAGGTTTAGCTTGGGATTCATTATTGGTGTCTGAGCAATTGAAGTTCTTGAATATTGGAGATGCTAAACTATGTTATACAGTTATGCCTTCCAGGTGATTTGTTGTGTAGATGGAGGGCAAGCTAAGACTCAAATCAATGTGGATTTTAGGTAGGTCAAGGGAGGTGAGGCTTAAAGTCACCTTATTCCACCTCAACCCTAATTCACCTTGTTTTATTAGAAGGGGTAGTTGTAAATATCTCTAGGGACTTGTTATAAAGCTTTATTAATCTAGCATTAGCATCTTAATGTATTAGTATTTAGCGTCTTGTAGCATTAGTGTCTCAAATGTGATGAAAGTACTGCCTTTAAAATATATACGATAGAAGGAGTAATATAAACACGGTATCTGCTTACTACAAAAATATCAGGCAAAATACTAAAGCATCTTCTAATTTCTGAAACTGAGAAAGCTTGTTGTGCGGCCAGAATAATCTGAGAAAAGTAAAGTCATGGTGATTAAAAACTTCACTGATAGTCTATTTACATGTCCAAATTTCCACAGACTTGCCTTTAGCCTTTTTATTTCTAGCTGCCTTAAAATGTCTTTCTAGGGGACATAAATTTCACCTAACACTTTGCATGCTTTTTTCAAGTGAGACCTTCAACTGTTATTCCTTGTCATTCTCCTACAGTTCACTTCAGCATCCATTAAGCAGTATGGCCAGTGTTTTCCCCTCTACCATAACTGAGTGCATGGAGTGTATTTGTCTTGCGTGCAGGGAATATTCTGCGTGGGGACACAGTGGAATCCCATGCTTGTTACTGTCAGGAGTGAGGTGTGCCTGGTGCAAACTTTGTATTGCCTTCACTTTTGTCTGTTAGGGGTATGACACTGACTACTTAGCCTTAATTTCTGGAGGGATTAGCATATACTTTCTATTTGTAAAGCCTTATTTCATCAGAACCATGAACCAGATATTAGTGATGTGGTTCCACTGGCTGCAGTGGAATTACCCAGGAGAAACTCCAGCATGGCCTGTGTAAAAGAGCAAAGCCTTTCAAGGCTTCAGTAGATGTAATTCAATGACATATGTAATGAATTACTAGACTGAAAAACATGTTCTGCATGCAACATTACTTCTAGAAATTGAGGGTTTCCGACATTCCAGGAGTCAGAAATGATAGTATCTGGTCTTGCAAGGATCCACAGAACCTGTCAGGGATTCAGTAGCAGTTTCTCTTTGTGCTGGCTACTTTTCTGTCCTTACAAAGAAAAAGAGGAAGAAGGTTGCATGCCAGCTATTTTACATGGTGTCTGCTTGGAGCTGCTTTCTAGGGAGTGTTAGTTTTTTCCTGCACCAGGTGATCAGTTGGCGTGGTGTGGATACCACAGCCAGAGATCCCTGGCCTAGACCCGCAGGAAGGAAGGAAAGCACAAGTGTTGGTGGTGAGTTCTGGAGTCATATGTATGCATAGAAGGGAGATTGGAAACTGTCGCCTTTCATGAAGGTGAAACTTCACAGTGGTAGGGAATAGAAGTTTTCAGATCCTGCAAAGAACACGTGTGGTGTTTAAACAACAAAATACACAGTAATTTCTTCAAAATGGCAGGTCTTCCAGGTGACTGGGGGCTTTCTAGTGAGTGGGGTCACTGATTCCTGTGCAGGAAGACTTAGTCTGGGCATGCTGGTGGGATGTCAGTTCCACGGAAGTGTCAGTTATGAATTGCTTTACTTGTCAGGGTCTATACATGGCTATTGTGGGCTATTCATAACACTAATCAATATTGAGTGGAGAACAACCCCATCTGTTTAAGGTCCCTTACAAATGAAACCATTATGTGATTGTATGATACAATACTGACTTTATTGGGTCATCAGAACTGGGCTGCCTACCCATAACCAAAATTTTGTCTTGGACTTCTGTTTACAGTCAGCTGATATCATTTGCTTTCAGACTTCCATTTCTCCATCACTATATATGCCTATGCAGTTCCACTCTAAATACTTATTCATTACTGCAGTGATGGTATTACCTAGCTTAGTATTGTTGACATGGGGGACATAATAAAGTTATGGGGAACATAAGATTATAATGAAAAATAATATAATCAAATAATAAATTATATTAAGAATAAATGGTACACCTCAGAAATTTTTCCTTTACTTCACCAATGATTTGTTTGTCCCATGAAGAGATGGGTTTGCACAAGAGTTTGCTGGGATTCAAACTGCATACAGTCTTAGGCAGTGGTATAAGCCCTGCTTTTATATAGTCTGGAAATAGTAGAGAGACAAAAGAGATCAAGTCTGATTCGAAGCAGGTGATATTTCTGTTTTAAATAATACTTTCCTGAACTATTTTTAAATTGGATAAAATTATTTTGTGAGTAATATAAAAATATTACTGTCTTTGAGTCAGCATCATTCTGTATGTGTCTAGAAAGGGAATTCTTACTATTATGGTATCCAATCTGAAGACTTCAGGTGGATTGTTTGGTCTGTGGAATGGTGTGGAGGAACCTTATGGTATAAAACTGTGGCAGGGTAGCAGATATGGTATCCCACAGGATTCACTTTTTTGTGGTGTCTTTATGAAAAATTCCATCCTCATTTATGTTACGTTATGAAAACCTAATGTTTGTTTGGTCAGTTTAAGTCGTTGCTTCAGCCAAAAGCAGTTACACTTTTCCTTTCCACATCCTGCAGTGATTTGCACTACAGCAAAAACCAGTTAGCTATACTTTGGATTCTGTGCAAAGACAAGAAGAGTGAGGGTGAAAAGGGTCTGAGGAAGGGAAGAAGGATACAGGGAAAAGTGGACCTGTTACTTCTGGCAGAAGTGTTGTCTTATTCCCACTGGAACAAATGTGGTATAAATTAATGCCTTAATACAGCAATGTCATCTCATGTAAATGTGTTGGCTTGCCTGTGTTTGTACCTGAGGGGGCTGTTAGCTTTACTATACAGGCTGATGTTCCTTTTCATTGAACGTTTTGCCATATGTCATCAGAAAATCAGAGTGAGCAGATGAAATTTGAAAAAGTAAAGTGGCATTTTTAGCTTATAAAATGTATTGGACACACATTTTGAATGTTGCTTGTTAAACCTCTCAGACAGATACGCTCAATTAGTCAGAATACAAAATAAAGATAAAATTTATCCAATCTCTGTGAAAGTCAGATATGAACCCCAGGACTCTTTGTCACTTGGTTATCTTAACCGTACTGCCCTTTTGACCTGATTTAGACTATACAAGCTATATCTCGTTTATACACATTTTGCTGTCTTTGTTCCTTTTAAGAATAGCTTAACTGATTTTTGTTGGAAGTAAGTATGAAAAAAATGTATAATAGTTATTTCTTTTATTGTCCTAGCATTGATATGTTAATGTCTTCTGATAAAGACAAGGACCCAGATGTTATTCCTGAAGATAGCAGTCTGCTAACTCTTCGGTATGTCATTACGGTACACTCACAGTACTCTGATATGGGGAGGGGTGAAAAACAATCACAAAAGCATGTCTGGCTCCTTGTTCCCTTTCCAGACAGTGGTGGACTTTCTAAAGCAGTGTCCAGAAATACTCTAAGGGCAGAAACAGTAGTTTATGATAGGATAATTGTTATGAGCCTTCTGATTGAATGTTACGTAGGAATTTTTTATTAAGATATACAGAATAAGTCATTGGAAGAACATAGCATTTCTGGCACTAGGTACTTCTAAACTAGCACCTAAATTTGGAGTGTGCAGGAGACTTATTATTATGTGCCAGAGGTTTCTCCAAGGCTTAGTGAGGTAAATCTGTAGCTCTTACCTCTAGTAACCCACAGTCACATTGTAACACCCAAAGCATAAGTACTGAAGTTGTAGCCAGATGCCTCTGTATCTGAACCCAGTCTTTGTAGAATTCATTGGTACTACTGGTGCATTTCAGAGGTTGAGCAATATATGTTATGTTTCTATTAGTTAGTGACCTTTGAACTCGTACTTGGCCAGTTCAGGCCTTTGCTGTACTTGAATTTCAGTTTGCACTGGTACTAATGTAAAGAACTGTGTAAAGGTTGTGATCAATGTTAAGTCTGTTACTGAAAACCTTCAGGAGGGTTAATAGTCTTGTCCTGGATGTTAGAAGGGAATTGGTGTTCATGCAGTGATTAAATACATGTATCATACATAGAGTATCTACTAAAATACAATTTGTTCTACAAAGGATAGAAAATTATCTTAGAAAAGTCATGGGGTTGAGAATATTTGTGGCTTTTATCTTGTTTTTCACTTGCACATGGATTGAAGTTCTCTGAAGTAAGGGGGAATAGTTGAAACAGCTTCCTCTTCAGACAACATTTTGATGTTTTTTCTCATAAGTGTAAAACTGCCCACAAACAAGCTGTAATTTGCACATAAGTGGAAAGAAAAAACCAAGCTGAAATCCACAAGCTGGCCTGTGTACTACCAGGTTTTATAGGAGTCAGGAGGCAAGAGTATTTTAAGTTGGTTTGTTGTACTAAGACAGCCAGAAATCCTTGTCTTTGAAAGCTGCACTGTAGTAGCTTGTGGCATTTAAAATTATACCTAGAAATTCTGCATGGAAGTTGTTGAATTAAATTTTGTCCTGTGTTCCTGCCCCTCAGAATTAGAAAGAAGGCATTAGAAAGGAGAGACGAAACAATTATTGTGGATCGGGCTTGCAGACAAGAAACTCTTGCCTATGAGATGGTAAGTTCCCTGTCATCTTGTAGGACCTTAAGACAGCGCAGCACAGCCAAAATCCAACTTCTGGTGGAAGACAGTAGGAGCACAGTGGCAACAAGTTCCTAATTCTGAGCTTTGTAACCCAGGTTTCTCATCCATTCTGAGCTGTAAGGAACCAGGAGTGTAGTGATCAGCCCCTCCAAATCCATCTTGTAATTCTTTTAACTGTGCTTAGTACCTCTTTTTTTAAGACATCTTCACAACCATTAAAGTCACAGGAAAAGTTAAGTTGTTAAATTTTGCAGTGCTGGAGTCTGTGGCTTGAACAAGCATGAACTACTGTAAAAATTAGGGAAGGAGGTGTAGAGAGGAAGGAGTGTCACTTGTGACTATTGAACATCATCTCCCCTTGAGGTTTCCCAGTCTATCATGAGGGATCTTGTTTCAGCTGTTCCACACACAGGCACATGATGTAAACATGTATCAGGAGATGCAACAACCTTTTTGGGCTCCTAGCCTAGGGCATATCTAAGAAAATATTTGCAATAGAAATCTTCATAAAGGTTTCCAGTGAGTGATGTCTTATATCTATTTCTGAAGAATGAGCACGCGATCAGTTAGTGCATCCTTTAACCAAGCTGTGGTAACTGGTTTGCGTGTCAGAGCTGGTTGGAACCACAGTGTCCTAGAACAGGATTAGAGCAATAAGAATTGTGAGTTTCAAATGTGTCACATGAGGAAGAGAGATGCAATGGATGGAACACAAGTATTTCTGAACTGAAGTCTTAGAACAGTACACGGTCCTGTTATTAAATCTGAAGAACACTTCGTGCTGGTTGGAAGTGTTTCTGCAGTCAGTATTCTCTCTTGATTTGTTGAAAAAGGAGGAAACTAACTGCCACAGAAAAGTGCTTTCCCTCATTATCACAGCTGGGCTATATCTTAAAGTAGGATGGAAATGTGGAAATGCTTTCACTTCTTTTCTAAAACATAGTAAAGTGGCAAGGGCAGTGCTGGATTTTGGTTTTGGATTTTGGAGAAATTGAGACTTCCAGCTATGTCAAGCTTCCCTAATAAGATGAACTGTTGCACTAATTTTTATTTTCATACATCTCATCCTGTGGCTAGTTTCTAGGTCAGTCTTTCTCAAGTTGAGGGCTGCAGTCCCCCTTCACATTTGAAAGCATTCAAAGAGAATTTCAAAGCATTAAGTGATAGAAGTTAGTAGCAGCTGGGTTCCATGAGGGCAGAGTGGCAACAGGCTTTAATTCCCTTTATGCAGGGACTCTCTGTAGCCAAGAAGTTGTCAGCTATCTGAAATTGCCAGCAATTGCTGAAAGCAGCTCGGCTTCTCCAGTGCTGAGGAATGAAGGAAGATGCTTGAAATGGGTAATCACAGCAGTTTCTCACCTTTCTATCTTGGAAGAACTTGGCTGTTATCAGTTCAGAAGGCTACACAGTCAAAAATGAGTTGCAATTAGAGCAGCATTTCTCAAGATTTTTATCCAGGGGCTATGATATATAAGTGGTTACCATTATTATAATTGTATCTTTGTTTTTCCAGGAATCACATGCAGTTGGAAAGAGGCCAGACAATCCAACAGATCTAATTGAGGAGGGAGAACTACTTTTAACTCTGAACATCTTCTATCCTGTCATAGTTCAGAAGGTTGGTGCAGAATTCTCTAGGTTGTATTCTGGTGTCTCTTCCCTACTTAGGTAATATCTTGCTTTCCCAAGCAGTTAAAATGAGTGAGTCCATGGAGGGAGTGTGGTCAACCCTTCAACTGTGGTAACTTCTTAAGGCTATTTCAGAATCTGGCTTTCATTCTGTTAATGGTTTACAGAAGGAAAGTTTTATGATAATTACTCAGCAGTTAATTGATTTCACAGAAAGCTCAAAATCTGAAACTAAATACATGAAAACTAGAGTATTTCTTGATTTGGGATGTGTGCTGAGACTTTCTTTACTGCACTTTTTGGTGGGGAATGTGACTTCTGGGTTTTTGAATAAAACTAATAAATGACACCCTTAGGAGGGGCTGAGGCAAGATTCTGTTTAAAATCTTGTACAGAGAGCTTATGTACCATATGCTGCCATTAATGACCTCAAGATGTTAACTGAAGAGCAGTACTGATGCTGACAAGTGATATTTATTTGAAGCCATATGCTGTTTTCTTCATAGCATAAAGAACGCAAACCTTATCAGACAGTCCTTGTACTGGGCAGTCAGAAGCTCACTGAACTGAGAGACTCAATTTCCTGCGTCAGTGACTTCCAGATAGGTGGTGAGTTCAGCAGTCAGCCAGATCAAGTACCAGAGCACATCAGCAAGGTAAAACCTTCCATGTGGAATCCTCTATGTGTGTAGGAACTTTGAAAATATACAGGAGAGAGGGAGGCAGAGTTTTGTTTTGGTTTTTCTTCAACAATAAATTCAGCTGCACTGCTTATGCCTGTGGGTTGCACTGCAAGTAAATACTTTCTGGTGGCATTACCAAGTTGACCTGTTTTGTGTGATGTTAAGAAAAACATCATTAATGCTACCGCTGGGAAGCAGTAACACTGGCCATGAGTTCTTGCATAGATGTATCCCCATGGACTGACTTTGAGTTATATTCTAGAACACCAGAGGTAATAGAAAGCTAAATACAGACCATCCCCTTCTGAACTTACATGGTTTGGTATTTGCAACTGGGTGCTGATCAAAAGTAGGACTGAAGATTATTCCCCTCTCCCACAGTTGCCAGGTGTTATCTGTGGATGTGCAAAAGGGGTCAATAAATAAAAAGTATTCTGATTTAAAATACTGAAATAATTTTGATAATATATCACTTATAATACATATCACAGAACGGTTGAGGTTGGAAGGGACCTCTGGAGGTCATCCGGTCCAACCCCCCTGCTCAAGCAAGGCTACCCACAGCCAGCTGTCAAGGACTGTGTCCAGATTGCTTTTGGATATCTCTAGGGATGGAGATTCCACAACCTCCCAGAACAACCTGTGCCAGTGATTGGTCATCCTCAAAATGAAAAGTGTTTTCTGATGCTCAGAGGGAACCTCCTGGGTTTCAGTTTATGCCACTTGCCTCTGTCCTGTCACAAGACACCACTGAAAAGAGCCTGGCTCTTGTCTTTGCACCTTTCCTCGAGGAATTTATATATATTAATAAGATCTGTGCTGAACCTTCTTTTCTCCAGGCTGAACAGTCCTACTTGTCTCAGCCTCTCCTCGTAGGAGAGATGCTCCAGTCCCTTCATCTTCATGGACACAGTACTCCAGATGTGGCCTCACCAGTGCTGAGGAGAGGGGAAGGATCACCTCCCTCGACTTGCTGGCGATACTTTGTTGAATGCAGTATAGGATCCCATTTGCCTTCTTGTTGCAACAGCACATCCATAGAGTCACAGAATGGTTTGGGACGGAAGGGACCTTAAAGACCATCTAGTTCCAACCCCCCTGCCACAGGCAGGAACACCTTCCACTAGACCAGGTTGCTCAAAACCCCGACCAACCTGGCCTTGAACCCTTCCAGGGAGGGGGCAGCCACAGCCTCTCTGGGCAACTGGTTCCAGTGCCTCACCCCCCGCACAGTGAAGAATTTCTTGTCGTGGTTTGAGCCTGGTTAGCGGCTAAACACCATGCAGCTGCTCACCCACCCTCCCCCACTTGGGAATGAGGAGGGAATCAGAGGGGCAAAGGGAGACTTGGAGGTTGAGATAGAAAGAGTTTAATAATGGTAATATAATAATACGGTGACAGTATCAACGGGTAACGTACAACACAATTGCTCACCACCTGTCAGCCAACACCCACCTGCTCCCAGCTGGCGATCCCGAACACAAGGTGCCACGTCCACGCTCCTGGGAGTGAGAGCCCCTCCCAGCCCACTCCCGCCTTTATATAGTGAGCACAATGTCACATGACATGGAATATCGGCCAATCCAGGCCCAGCACTCCAGCTGTGCTCCCCCCGCCCCCACACACAGGCAGGGCACATGGAGCTGGAGAGTCCTTGAGATCTCAGTGTGCTTCAGCATTCCTCCAGCTACCAAAATGAACAAGAACTCTATTCCAGCCTGAACCAGGACATTTCTTCATATATCTAAACTAAATCCACGCTCTTTCAGTTTAAAACCATTACCCCTTCTCCTATTGCTGTACTTGCTGACAGAGAATCCCTCCTTATCCTTCCTGAAGGCCCCATGTAAGCCCTGGAAGGCCACTATAAGGTGTCCTGGGACCCTTCTCTTCAGGCTGAAAGCCCCCAGCTCTCTCAGCCTGTCCCCATAAGGGATGTGCTCCAGCCCTCGACCATCCTCACAGCCCTCCTTTGGACCCGCTTGAGCAGGTCCATATATTTCTTATCCTGGGGTCCCCAGAGCTGGACACCGTATTCCGGGTGGGGTTTCGTGAGAGCAGAGTCGAGGGGAGAGTATCACCTCTCCCAACCTGCTGGCCACACTTCTCTCGATGCAGCCAAGGACACAGCTGGCTTTCCGGGCTGGGAGCACACACTGCTGGCTCACAGTCAGTTTTCCATCCGCTAATACCCCCAAGTCCTCCTCCGCAGGGCTGCTCTCAACCCACTTGTCGCCCAGCCTGTATTTGTGCGTGGGATTGCCCCCACCCGCGTGCAGGACCTTACACTTGGCCTCGCTGAACTTCATGAGGTTTGCACAGGCCCACCTCTCCAGCCTGTCCAGGTCCCTCTGGGTGGCATCCCTTCCCTCCAGCATGTCGACCGCACCGCACAGCTTGGTGGCATCGGCAAACGTGCCCAGGGTGCACTCAACCCCACTGTCCACATCTCCAGCAAAGATGTTAAACAGCGCTGGTCGCAGCACCGACCCCTGAGGAATGCTGCTCATCACTGCTCTCCACTTGGACATCGAGCCATTGACCGCAGCTATTTGGGTGTGACCATCCAGCCAATTCCTTATCCACCCCGTGGTCCATCTGTCAAATCCATGTCTCTCCAATTCAGAGACAAGGATGTTGTGCGGGACGGTGTCAGATGCTTTGCACAAGTCCAGGTAGATGACGTCAGTTTCTCTTCCCTTACCCAACAGCGTGGTAACACCATTGTAAAAGCCCACCGGATTTATCAGGCACAACTTGCCCTTAATGAAGCCGAGTTGGCTTTCACCAATCACCTCCTTATTTTCCATGTGCCCTAACATAGTTTCCAGGAGGATCACCTCCATGATCTTGCCTGGCACAGAGGTGAGAGTAACTGGCCTGTACTTACCAGGGTCTTTCTTTTTTCCCCTTTTTAAAAGTGGGGGTTATCTTTCCCCTTGTCCAGTCAGCGGGACCTTCACTGGACTGACACAACTTCTCAGATATGGATAGTGGCTTAGCCACTTCACCTACCAATTCCCTCAGGACGCATGGATGCATCTCATCAGGTCTTGTGGACTTGTGTATCTTCAGGTTCCTTCGATGGTCTCAAACTTGATCTTCCCCTACAGTGGCTGGTTCTTCATTCTCCCAGTCCCTGCATTTGTCTTCCGTGTCTTGGGCGGTGTGGCTGGAGCACTTACTGGTGAAGACTGAGGTAAAAAGGTCATTGAGTACCTCAGCCTTCTCTGTGTCCCAGGTGACCCAGTCTCTCATTTCCTTCCACAGAGGGCCCACATTTTCCCAAGTCTTCCTTTTATCAGTGACGTACCTGTAGAAGCTTTTTTGGTTGCCATTCATGTCCCTGGCCAGACGTAATTGTGTCAGGCCTTTGGCCTTCCTAACCTGATCTGTGGCTGCTTGTACGTTCTCTCTGTATCCCTCCCAGGCTACCTGTTCTTGCTTCTACCCTCTGTAGGGTTCCTTTTTGTGCTTGACCTCCTTGTTCCTGCAGGCCTCCTGGCGTTCTTACCTGACTTCTTCTCTGTCAGGGTGCATTACTCCTGAGCTTGGAGAAGGTGATCCTTGAATATTAACCAGCCTTCTTGGGCCACTCTTCCCTCCAGTGCTTTATCCCATGCTATTCCACCAAGCAGATCCCCAAAGAGGCCAAAGTACCCTCTCCTATTGTCCAGTGTAACGAGCTCGCTGTGTGCCCTCCTTGCTGCCCTCAGGGTCTTGAACCCCACCATTTCGTGGTAACTGCAGCCAAGGTTGGCCTTGAGCTTCACTTTCCCCACCAGCCCCTCCTTGTTGGTGAGAGCAAGGTCCAGCATAGCACCTCTCCTCGTTGTTTCCTCTATCACTTGGAGAAGGAAGTTACCATCAATGCATGCCAGGAACCTCCTGGGTTGCTTATGCCCTGCTGTGTTGTCCCTCCAACAGGTATCGGGGTGGTTGAAGTCCCCCATGAGGACCAGGGCTTGTGAATGTGAGGCTGCTCCTAGCTGTCTATAGAGGGCCACATCCACTCAGTCTTCCTGGTCGTGTGGCCTGTAGCAGACCCCCACTATAACATCTGTCCCTGCCTTCCATTTAATCCTGACCCACAAGCTGTCAGTCAGCTTCTCATCCATCCGCAGGCAGAGCTTCCCCACACTTCAGCTGGTTGTTGACATAAAGGATGACACACCATCCTTGTCTGTCCTTTCTAAAGAGCCTGTATCCTTCCATGCCAACACTCCAGTCATAGGAGACATCCTACCACATCTCTGTGTTGCCAGTGAGATCATAGCCCTGCAGGTGTGCATGCCTCTAGCTCCTCTTTTTTATTCCCCATGCTACAGCACTAAAGGCATTTAACTTAGGCCCCCAATGAAGCTGATTTATTGGCTGGAATTCCTTTGTGCTGCTTTTCAGGTGATCTCCTGCTGCTCTGTGATCCCTCTCCAGGCTCTTGGCATCTATTGCTGCCACTGGCATCAAACTGGTAGGAGTGTCATGGATTATGGTTTCCCTCTCCCAGCAACCTTTATTTAAAGCCCTGTTCGCCAGTTTGGCAAGCCTATAACTGAAGATGCTCTTCGCCTTTTCTGACAGATGTGCCCCATCAGTCCCCAGTAGACCAGGTTTCTCTGAGTGGGTTCCATCATCTAAGTAGCTGAATCCCTGGCTGTGGCACCAGCCAGAAGTTGGTAAAGAGCTGCCAGAGCATGGCACTACTTACACTTTGTGGTTGGAGAGCCAGTGAGGGTGACACTTGCAGAACCAAAACAAACTGAAGGTAAAACACATTCCTAATGCTGTGCCTTTGTGCAGGTCATCTCCAGTCATGAGTCCCATCTCTGGTCCCACTGTCTGCATTTCCTATCTTTTGCCAGAGTTAATAGCTTAAGAAGACCACAGGGCACAAATGAGCATTCATTTGTTCTCTCTTAATAAAGACATATAAGACTGGTCTGGGGATCTAGAGTGCCTAGTTGTCCATGGCTTTCCCATTTGATTCTTACTTAGTCTGGTTATGCCTCTGTACAGTTTTACAGGTTATTCTGAGTCCCCAGAAGTGAGGTGATTGAACCTCCCAAAATTGCTTATCTGTCTTGTTTATATAGATGTGACCAGGGACTGCTCCCATGTGATTGTCATGTGTGTGTGTGTGTGTACGCATGCATGTGTAGTGTACAGGACTGCAATAATTCTCTATCGTTTCAGCAAAAAGTATTTTTTGTTGTGGTCTGTCCTGATCTGGTGTATTGGGTCTGGCTGGGATGGAGTTGATGTTCCTTACAGCAGCCCATGTAGTGCAGTGCTTTGCATTTTTGGCCAGGAAGGGTTGATAACACACCAGTGTTTTGGCTGTTGATGAGCAGTGGTTGCACAGCCTTAAAGCTATCTCTCCAGATCCCCCCAGGGACAGTGCACTTGTGATGGGCAAGAGACTGGGGGGGGGTGTAGCTGGGAGACCTGACCCAAACTGGCCAAAGGGATATCCCATGCCATATGATGTTGTGCTCAGCAATAAAATCTGGAGGAGGGGAGTAAGAGGATCATTCATGGTTAAGACATTTGTCTTCCAAAGCAACCACTACGCATGGTGAGGCCCTGCTTCCCAGGAAGTGGTTGGACATTGCCTGCTCATGGGAGGTGGATAATAAATCTCTTTTTGCTTTGCTTCTACACGCAGCCCTTGCTTTTCTCATTAAACTGCCTTAATCTCAACCCACAAGCTTGCCCATCTTATTTTCTTTCCACTGTCCTGCTGAGGAGGGGGAGTGAGAAAACAACTGGGTGGGGGGACTTGAAGCCAGCCAAGGCCAACCCACTACATCTTGCTAGTTTTTTAAAATCTTATTAGTCTTCTTTTAAGTCAGTGCTGTGCAGTTACTTGATTTGTGCACTTTGTTCAATGATGCTTTTGTTCTTGTTCTGTGTTTTTGTAGAAATCTGTAACTTGTTTGGTGATGTGGATAGAAATAAGAGAAGAGCACTGACATAACCCGTGGTCGTTTGAGAATACTATCAGCAGAGCAGCTGCATAGCTGATAATCATATAAGCATTGTTGTCACATCAGCATCTAAAACCAATGCAAAGCTTTTCTTAGAAACTTGTAGAATGAGGTCTCTTAATATAATTTAGATACCTAAAATGCTTGGATTTTGACATGTTCTTGTTTAACGTGTTTAATCTTTTATAACACTAGTGCAGACTTATCTCTTTCTTTCTCTCTCTCTCTTAGGATCTCTACAAATCTGCTTTCTTCTATTTTGAAGGCATCTTTTATAATGATAAAAGATACCCAGAGTGCAGAGATCTAAGCAGGTACAGTATTTGTAGATGTTGGCCAAGGAACACCTTAAGAGACAGAAAATTTATTTCATTTTGCTTATGATTTGTGGTGTTTTAAAGACTAGAATGTCTAGTGTATGAAGCTATAATATACTTTCTGTACTATTTTTTCACACTGAATTGATTTTTACATAGATGTTTAAATTTACTTACTCATTCCTTCCACTCACTTCCCTTCTGAAAAGGGGATGAATGTATTTTTTGTCCCCATGAATCCTGTTTTGCTCTGTTGGGATGGGATCACTGTGGAAGGTGACAGGTGTCTGTACTGGCTTTTTAAGTGCCCTCCCTACTTGTGATGACCACCAAAAGACTTGCCTGTGATGTAGAAGGGGGATCAGAAAGACAACAAGCTCAGCTCTGTGGAATTCAGTTTTTCTGCTCAGACTTGGAAATATACTGAATATCTTCATGGTAAAGTCAATAAGGGGACTGTGTGTCTGTTGGGAAAAGAAATCTGAGATGACATTGCCAGGAGTCTCAGGTATCTCTTGTTTGGAACTATACCTAACACTGGTTGAGCACAAGTCATACCCATTTAAACTATACATAGTAGTTCATTTTAAGGAAGTGCGGGCTTGCTGACAAACTAGTGAGATTTAGGACATCAAGATGTTAAAATGGATGATATGGAAGAGCTGTGAATTTGAACTCTGTTCTTGTTATGCCAGACCTGGTGTGTCAATTCTGAGAAATTAATTATTTTTCTCCTTCTCTTTCTGTCTGTGAGCAACAATGATCTTCATGAAAGGGCTTGTGATAACATGCAGTTTGTGGAAATTAAATGCCTTGTATGTAGGAGTGTGCTGAAGAGCCAAGAAATAATTGCAAGAATAACCAGTGCTCCTCCAGTGTTAAAGCTTGGAAATGTAACTGCAGTTCTCATCTTTGTGTTTCTCCTTGGCAAAACCAAAAAAAGCATTTTAATACTTTAAAACAAAGTTATTGACCAAGGAAGCAAAAATTAACTGCTGGTAACTTGAATTATTGGAATACTTGAGAAGTGTTGTGCTGCAAACAGCCTGACCTGGATGGGTGCTATCAGGAGCATACACTGACTAGAAATCCTTGGAAAGCTGCCTGGTGGGGATTTAAAGGCAGGTGTTCCTCAAGAACAGTGCATAGTTCTGTGGGGTTGTGGTATTGCTGTGAAATTACCTTAAATTATTACAAAATGTGAGCTGTTTTGATTTCTGTCTTTTTAACTGTGTCTCAGTGTCAGCTTCTCATGTCCCCAAACTCCTTCCTTTTCTGTACATTCGCAGTTTATAGCATTGCTATGCTGGTCACCTTTCTTTTCAGAACAGTTATTGAGTGGTCAGAATCTCATGACAGAGGCTATGGAAATCTTCAGTCTGTCAGAATGGAGGACTACACATTTAATGATTTGTCCCTCAAAATTGGCTTTCCATACCTCTTCTGCCACCAAGGGAACTGTGAGCACATCATTATCATCACAGATGTAAGGTAAGTTACTGCTTTTTGGGAGTCCTTAGGCAGTTGGAAGCAAGCCTTCCATGGACAGACTTCAGACACTAAATGCTGAACATTTGTTAGACTAACTTTAAGATTATTCTGTTGCCTTCTTCAGGGTTTATTTAAGATTTTATTACATATATACATATTCCACATATTTATGTGACTACCACTGCAAGGAAGAAAGTAATCTCCCTTGCTATTTTTTTTTTTTTTTGGTAATATTTTGTCTGCATAAAATCTTTCTAACTTTATTTCTAGCTCTCTAACCAGTGTGAGATGATTGTAGTATGGGAGGAATGGTACCCACAGTGAAAAGCTCTTTCTTTGCAGAGCCAACGTGTGGCTGATTTACATACTGATTCTGGAGCACCAGGGAGCAGAATGCTGTTAATGGCTCTGGCTGGAGTCAACTGGACTTGCTACTTTAGACTTAGTGCTATGGGGAAGGAATTGGAAAGAGAACAGAGGAATGGAAATAGTGGGCTGAGGTGGACAGGGAATGAAGAGATGGAGGAGATGGTAGTGGCTTTGAGGTGGCAACCACATCAACAGTAGCACTATTGTGTATGTCCCACTCAGTGCAGAGAGGGCACTCTCTGATTGTCTGTAGTGGGTGACAGATTATTTTCAGTTCCCTGAAGCCTGATGAACCTACGCATTAGTAACAAATGGTGCTTCCCAAGAGGAATACAACCCAAAGAATGGCATAGATGCTGCAACTAGCTGATCTCAGGATTATGAGCCTCTAAACATTCACCTGGTGATGTTTTTGCCTGTTAGTCTATGTAGGAGATCAAAGCTTTAAAAAAGACCATCTAAAGTAGATAGTCTGGAGACTCCTGAGTTACTACACAAACTGAATTTACTCCTGGCCATAAAATCCACAGCTGGTGCAACTAGCAGTCTATCTCCCAGTCTTCATCTGTGTTAAGAAATGCTAAGCAGAAGTCTAGTCATAGTTTACACAGAAATTTAAATCATGCCTTTTCTTCAGTGTCCATGCTTATGTTCAGATAAATTACAATGTGACAGAGTCTTTATTGTATTTTATGTATTTATTTATTTCCCTCAAGGCTCATTCATCATGATGACTGCCTGGACAGGAACCTCTATCCCTTGCTAATCAAGAAACACTGGTTATGTACCAGAAAATGCTTTGTGTGCAAAATGTATACAGCCAGGTATGCACATTCTCAATCCTCTCAAGTTGTTTTCTTAAATAAGTCTTCCTAGGTGCTGCTAGTAACTTTAAAAAAAAATAAAAAATCAAAGCTCTGTATGTATTTGGTAATGTGTGTGAATAATCTTCATGCAAATATTCAGAAATCTTATTCTTCAGGCAGTTGGAGGAGATGATTCAGGATGATCAAAAGAACTGAATGATGAAAAGGTTAATTATTTGGCTCAGGTTCTTTTGCATACATAGAACTCAGCTCTCAGTCAATTACTTTTGAAAATCTTGCTTTTTGGGGAAAAGGCTGCGTTTTGCCCCTGTGACAAGTGATTCAGATTAATTTGTCAGAAGTTGTACAGAGCTTTCATTAAATCTAGCATCTAAGTAGAGGAAAACATGGAGCTGTCCAACTTTAATATAGTAAAATCTAGAGATTTTTAAAAGGCATGTAGCTTACCCCACAGGTGAACTTCTAACCTCTACCTGAAAACTGCTGTGCAGCTGCACTTGAAGGAACCTTTGGTGATGCACAGATTGTCTGCAGTTAAGACAGCAGAATGTGAATTTGGTGCTCTTCATACACTTCAGTGCTGTTTACTTGGGACATGAGAAAGCCTTTCAGTAGACACAGTAGAAATTTGTCTAACGGAGTTCTACAGACTAGGCTAGGCTCCTTGATTTTCTAAGTCTAGATGATTTAATTACCAAAACACCCACTGCCTTTTTTTCCCCCCAGGGCAGTTTACACTCTCAGTCTCAGGGCTCAGAGTCCAGCTCAGCAGCTGTGTCCTTGTTATCTTGCTTGTTTTGTCTTAGACTTCCCTGGAATCAAGCAAAGAGCCCATTACCTTTGTGGTAAGAGCCCATCTAGTGCTCCTAGCAGAGCCCCTAGAGTGCCTTCAGAAGTGGCTATAATCTGTGAGGCATTTGGCCATAAGGGGAGGTGGAGCCAAAGGGTCAATATGGGGGAAAGATGGGATGGGGAGGGCATTACCAGAGGTGATGTAAATGCATTAAATTAAAACCAGGATTAAGCACTAAGCTTAAGTGGGGAGATGCTAAACCATGGATAGCAGAGCTGCTTTGTCTGGCTGTCCTGCATGTTCTAATCTGTGCAAATAGCATCTTTAATCACTAGAGGCCTTGAGCTGTCATGGTCTCTGAGTGCTACCAAAAATTAATTGCTTGGTGACATGGCAGGGCCTCCTTGTACTGGCAGCTGTGTTCACGTTAACTTCAGTGTTAGCTAGAATTTGCAGCAATCCTGTCCTTGTCTTCTCTGCATCATCCGGGCCCTTCTTTTAGACCTATAAATGGGTTTGATTATTACTCAGAGTACTTTGGGTCAGTCACGTGTCTGCTCTGTATCATAGTTTCTTATCTTAAGGGAAAACAGATTTAACTTTCATGACTTAAATGGACATAGGGTGGACAGAAGATTCCTGTTAATTTTTTTTTTTTTTTTTTTTGTTATGCACTCACTTTACTAGCTACAGGTTTGAGGAGTTCCTTAGGAAATGCTGCTGTAGCAGTGTAAGGTAACAGCTGGGATTGACATTGAATGGGTGCGGAGTTTGGAAAACAGCTATATACCTGGAGCGGGAGATAGGCAATATAGGTAGTACCTGGTCAATATAACATTATTACTGATCGTTGCTGTCATCCTCAACTCTGAGTAAAATGTTGAGATGTTTGTCACAAATGTGTTGAACTCACATGGAAAACACTTGTATTTTGTAACGTGCAGGTGGGTAACGAATGAAGACAGTTTGGCACCAGAGGATCCTTGTTTCTTCTGTGATATCTGTTTTCGGATGCTCCATTATGATGCAGAAGGCAATAAACTGGGGGAGTTTCTTGCATATCCTTATGTTGATCCTGGGATTTTCAACTGAAACTGACATGACCCAGAACTCTGTGAACTGTGTTGGTGAATCTGTTGCTCTGGCTACTAAAAACACCAGACAGCTTGAGTTTTGAGCATATTCCTGGGTTTTGGGTTAGGTTTATAATACTCTCCCCTGAGATGGAAGGAGCCCTTTACACTTGAAGTCTTTCTGGTTTGTTTTTCTGAGTAAGTATGGTTTAAAAGGTAAGTTAAAATTGAAAAATACACTTGGACACTACTTTACTTTACTCAGTTTATTAAAAACTTTGACAACAGTACAGTAGTTTGGAGACTGTGGACTCTAAAAATACAGATTTTTAAAGAGAGAATACCTTGCAAAAACAGATGTGATTTTTGAGAAGTTCTGTGCATCCAAGGCTCTGTTAACCACAAAGGATGAACATTGTCTTTTGGCATCTTAGCTTGAAAACTGTGTCAGTTGTCATCTCTGAATAAAGCACTGAATAGTGAATAGCACTGAATTTGTGGGGAAGAGAATGGTGTCTGAGACAGAAGCTCACAGTGCTTGTTAACTTCTAAGATCTTTCCTGCAAACAGAGGAGTGCTTGCATCTGTAAGCCGCTGCTGTCCTTGCATTCTGACTCTGAGTACTGAATCTGTGAAGAGTAAACTACATTTCACCTATTACTGAATTGTAGCCTGCCTTTCAAATAACTTTGTTAACTGTTTACAGTGTGTGCGGTTTTAATGCTTCATAGTGTTCATTGTGCACTTCTTTTTGTAGTACCATTCTGTTATTTTAAGTATTGTTGGTTTTCATTGAGGTGTGGCCAATTTGTACTTGTTAGTCTGATGTTGAAACTCTACTTGCCAAGACAGAATATACTTACCTAGTGCCTTGCTTTTTAAAGTCATGTGGAATTCAGAGGATTTTAGTGGAGATCTTTGCTGTTTAGGAAAGCTAGTAGTGCTAGCTGCTTTTCTTTTGAAAGCTTCAGCTAGTTCTCAAAAAAAAAATCTATTTCTAGTTGGTGTAAAAGACAGCCAACTTTGATAACCTGATACAGAGATGTATCTGACAAATCTAATTCTATTCAGGTGATGTGGCTGCAGATTTTGCAAGTGCTTATTTGAGTATCTTAGATGTCTTCAAACAAAAGTGTCTTAAGCATTTGCAGGACTCCATTCATCAGTCACATATTTGACTGCTTTCTGATGGTGTATTAGGTCATGTGGATATAAATCTGTGCTTTTTTTTAGGACAAAAACCAAAAGGTGATTTTTTTTTTTGTCTTTTAAGTCTGCCAGCTGTTGACCTGTGTATTTTGAAAATGGAGTAGTGAAGGAAGGATTTTTAACAGCAGGTGGTGATAGTTCTCTTATCCTTCAGGAATGTGCAGAAGAGGGAGTGCTCTGCCCACTGTAATTGTCACCAGTTAAACTGCTAGGACTGGACTGCTTTGTGGTGCTGTGGCAGCTGCTTCAAAGATCTCCCACAGGACACCTCTGGTTGCACCTTCAGTATTTGCCTCTTAAGTTGTTACTCTTCATCTTTCCCCAATCTCATCCTCTGTCAGCTGTCTCCTGGTAACATAGGAGCTTCCCAGTCCTCTTCAGTATTGGAACTGAAATCATGTAGACAGCTGGTATAATTTCTAAAGATACTGTATGTTTGTTTGTTTGCTGGCTCCTTATGCTGAATTCTAAGGTGGCAATCAGTAGTGTTTTTGTGGTGGTTTTTCTTTTTTTTCTTTTTTTTTTTTTTTCTTTAGCAGGAAGGAGAAGGGAGTGGCCAAAATGTGAATTTGTTCTTTCATTAAACTCATTCTGCTTTGATATGCTATCTTACACCCAACCCATTTACCTACTTCGCAGTAAAAAGTTATGGTCAAATATATTTCAAAATTGCTGTCCCTGCAGATTAAGGAATTTGGTAGGGCTAGTCCCATATTTCCAGCTAGGCAAAGAGAAGCTGGCCACAATCTGGGTGTGAGTTGAGTGCATCCTACAAAACAGAAAAGATCTCGTGTCAGGAGCTGCTGTTTGTGTGCTCTGGTCCTATTTAATATTGAATGATTCAACTTAAATGATGAATGGAACAAAAAGGTTGCACTAAATCATAGTTTGTAGAGATACTTTACTTCCCAAGAGCTGTCATAGGACAGCTGGGTCTGGTCTTGATTTAATACGTCTTTCTGAATGAATCCTCTGAGTGAAATCCAGCATTGTACCCAGCTGCCAATTTGTAGTTAAATTTCTGTAACACCAGTTGGATATTTGTATTTGGGCTATTTGCTAAATGCTGTTAGTGTTTCAGTGATCAAAACTTCCAAGCAGATTTATTACTTAATGATGAAAAATGAGAAAATTTTTTTAATAATCCCTTGTCTGTGTGTTCTTTTTTTTTTTTTTTTTTTTTTTTTTTTGTTAAAGCAAGACAATCAGCATTTTTTTTCTTATGAATCCTTGTTATAGTAAACTGGATATAAGGGTGTGGAACGTGAAGATGATTTGAGTTATATTTAAATGAAAATTTAAAGGCCCTGCCTGCTGACATGTTAAGACTTTTGCCTGTACTTACTGAGGAAAGCAAAAAGGCTGCAGTATTAAAAACTGTAGTTGAATCTGTTGAATCGAAAGAGCATTAACCTGAATCTGTGGTTGGCTTTTTGCTTTGATCTTTTTAAAATACTTCGTGATTTGGCAGTATGAACCATTATAACTTATTTCAAACTTCCAAAATGTCTTGGAGATTCTCTCCCTAATGAAAGTTTTTGCTTTGCGGACAAGATGGTGATACAGAATGTGGTTTCTAGTGTTGAGGAAGAAGAGAGGCCCCTCTGATTTTACTGTTAGTGTAAAGTACCAAAGCAATATGGAATTCATAGATGGTCACTTTCCACTGGTATCTGGGCACTTGTAACACTATCACAACAGCGCCCTGTGTGCTTGAATGATGACCAACTCAACAGGGCTACACAATATTTTAAGCTGTAGTAAACTTGACACTTGAAGTAGGGATGCTACTGTCAAAGCTAACTCTGCTCTAAATTTTTGTGCATTAAAAGGTTTGTTTCCTTTCTGCAAAAAGAATCAGCCTTATTCCTTGGGAGACTTAAGTTTGACTGCCTAGTCAATTGTCACCTCAGAAATTATTATTGTATCATTCAAGAGACACAGTTTATGGACAGTCAGACATCTTAGAGGGTGACGTGACCATCTCTAGTCAGTGAGATTCTGTGAATTTAGGTTACTTGTGGTTTGTAAATGGGCGTTAACTTCAGGTAGTAGAAGCCCAAGCAGCCGAATGGATCAAGCATGACTTACTTCAGTGACTTCCAGCATACAATCAGGAGCTTCATCTCTGCATCCATCTCAGGTAACCCTTTGAAGTAGTGGCATGGTTGGCCAGCAGTTGTGAAAGACAGATGTGTGTTACCTAATCAACATTTGTCTGAAAACAAGGTGGATTTGGTGTACTTACTGAATACATAGTACCTTTTTTTTTTTTTTTTTTTTTTTTTTTTTGGTTTGAGGGGTTTTGGTACAAAGGAATGGTCAAAATCAGTAAGTGTCTATATGAGAATTCCCATTTTGAGTTAACATCTTTACAGAAACACTTTTGAGGGTGAAGGTGGAAGTTGTTTTAATTTCCTAAGGCAGTAAAGTACATCTACATGTACGTAGAAATATGCAAAATCCAGTGTACAGTAACTACCTGTATTTGGAAGCTGAATGAGAATGTTGCTGTCTGATGGTCTAGCTGTATGGCCATGTTAGTCTCTGCCCTTAACAGTTTGTTGTGAAGATTGCCGAAACTCAAGATCTGCGGAGGCCAAACATCATGGCCATCTGCTGAGGACAATTTCACACTGGGAGCTGCTATGGCTATTCATCTCATCTTCCAGGTTTAATTTGAGGTACTATTTTCAAAATTTAAAAGCTGTTAGGTTTTGGCCTATAAACACCTTCAATTTCATTACATGATTATGTACCCATTATGCCCATTGCTTTGCAAGCAATTTTAGCATTTAGTAACTACTTGCATGTTTTTACTTTTGTATGGGAGATTGCTATGTTCAAAACTTTAACTATACTGCTGCAAACTAGAACTTCTTTCCATGCTGAGTTTTAACTTAAGTAATCACAAAAGTGGATTGTGCTTTGTAAATACAGGCTTTGGTATTTAATCAAGCTTTCCAAATGCCTGTAGCTTGCTACTTTAATTTCCTCAGGCAGCCAGCATGTTACTACAATGTGCTACTGTAACTGATTGCTACTATGTTTTATGTGAAAATTCATTTATGAACTTGCTTTGAGCAGCAATGTGGAAGCCTTCCCCCAGTCACTCTTCACATTGGTCAAACTACTTCCCAGCAGGCAGAAGCAGAAGCTTAGGTGTAGTGACTACATGTACACAAACGGTCTTCGAGTGGTGTATTTATCAGTGAAAAAAAACATTCACTGTGTGATAGATTCTAAGAAAGTTACATAAAAAAATAACTAGAGCAAGCTAGCAAAGATGAGTGAATGGCAGTTTTGAACACAAACATAATACTGCTCGTGCAATGAGTGTCAGATACTGGAGTTGTAATTGGAGGCTTTTCATGCTTTTTTCTATGCCTCTGGTCATTAGTGAGGAGGGTTGTGTTGTTACTTAAACCATGCAAGTGAAGAGCAGGGGAGATTAGGGCTGTGATCCTAAAACTAGTATGTAGTTTATTACTCTAGTCTGTTAGAAGTAAGAAAAAAACCCTAAAGCCAGCAAAAAGGCAGTGCTAGGGAAAAAAACTTTTCATCTCTTCAAAATTAAGACACAGAATATGGAGGAATTACTTCAGAGTAGTGCATTATTTCAGTGAAAAAAAGCATTCTCAAGGTAAGTCTGTCACTTTCAGATTCTGGATAATGGGGAAGTTCAAAAGCAGTGCTGACATTACTGACCTTCACCTGGTTGTGATGTGTTGAATGTTGAAGTTGCATTTTCCTGTTACTGAGTAGCTGCTTAGCACTACTGAAGAGCATAACTGCAAACAAAAGTAAAGATTGTAGCAAGTTGAACCTGAAACAGGGAAAAGTTGTACACCTTGTTTTATATATTAGAAATCCATTTTCTCTATACTACCCTGGGTAAAAACAACACAGAAAACCAAGGTGGGCTGACTGAAGAAGCCATAACAGCAGTTTAGAAGGCATATAAACAAGAAATAATTTGACTTCTCAGTATTTGATACCATGCTGTTTTGGTCATGCTGCAGTACTGAAAACTCTTCCTTGTTGAATGGTGTGAGTTAAAGTTTCAGAAGTACTGGTCTCCACCTTGATGTAATCATGTTTTTCCATTGCTGCCCAGAAGGTCACAATACAAGGCAGTATGTATACCTGGAACACTATCACCTTCCCTAATATCCCCCTAACAAGTTTTACTAGGACTATAAAGCTCTAATTTCTAACCTGGCTGGCCTCTGTCAAATACCATTTTCCAGTCACATAGAAGTCATGCCTAGTTCTGATGTCAGGCAAAGTGTGTAAGGGAGTTTCTCAGAGGAGCTTGTAGCTGTTTCATTCCATCACACCTTTAGGCATTTTTCTTAAAATACTTTACCACCATTTCTGCTAAAATTCAAGTTAGAAATCTGCAAGCTAATACTAAGGCAATAAAATCAAAATAGTACTAAAACCAGACACTTGCTGTTTCTATGAATGTCTTCATCTATACATGTTAGTATTAAGAACAAGTCCATCAGTTTCAAATGCTTTAATTTCATTAATTTTTCAAGACAGTGTTTTCCAAACAGTGTTCATCAACGGGTTCTGTGAGAACAACACTATTCATTCTAGTATACTTAATTAAACCAAATGCATATCATAGAGTCACATTGCAGCAAATTGGCACAATGAGTTTTGCAAGAACAGAACTAAACTGATTAAGTATACTTGTACATTAGCATTTTAACAGCTATGAAAACACTGCTTCCATTCTTACAAAACACAAGTTAAAAGACATCCCCACAAGAGTTGAAAAACTATGCACAGAGGTCAGTATCCTAGGAAGAGAGCAGGCTTTATACAGATGAAGCATTTGGGCAGTTAAAAGTATTTACACTTTTTCCTGCAATCAGCTAGACAAACGTAACAGTAGTCAGGTAACAATATACTACAACTCTAAGTCCTGTGACATGAAAGCAGTTGTTTTCTAAGTGGAATTTTAATCTTTTGAAATGTGTTATCTGTTAATACTGGACCAAAACTATTGGCAAAAGTGTTTAAATACTTTGAAACCAAAATTAGAAGGGCTTTTATTCCACAAAATTTAACTTTACAATACTATGCTTATAAAATTATTTAGAACTTTCAGCAGTCTATAGATTTCAAATGCAAAACTTAGCCTCTTTTATTTGTATTTTAGAAAAAGACTCCAGTGGTATCATTTGCTTTCAAAGGCAGAATCTTTTGCTGGCTTCTCAAGCTCTCTCTCTTCACCATGTGTCCTAGAAACAAAATAAAGCAACATTAATGACCATATAAAAATGCAGAGAGCAAGACTTATTCCACATGAATTTGTGCAGTCTAGAGTAAGTAGAGTAAGTGATGCTGACATACATTCAGCAGTAGATGAAGTCTGGAGAACTGAAGCAGGTAGTGATGCCAGCTATCTATCTCCTCTTAGGCTGACTGCCCCCAAATGTAAAGCTAAGCTGGTGGTGATTAACATCACATTAATGTATATGACTAGTTGGGGGCAGAATGACTGCCATTCACAAGTAGCCATACAAGACTTTGTAAAGCAGGTTTATTTGTTTAGGCAAGTCAAAGAATGTGTTGGGAGTATAGAGTTCAAGCCCATAGCAAACACTGCATGTGATTAAAGAAATAAATGTCTATTAACAGAACATTGACACCCCACTAGCTCATTCATGGAAGATATATTTGCAAGTTTTACAGATACAATCACAATTACTGATGTATTCAAAATATAAATTGTCTCGCCTCAAAGTTGCTTTTTTGAGACACTCTTTATATTTGACAGCCTTTTTCAAGGCATGTTGTGCAACTGCCTAAAGTATCTGCCTTAAATTTCTTCTGACCAATGTCCATTGAAGTGTCATGCATGCACCCAACTATTCTTGTTCTTAATTCTTTTAATCACAAATATAAAGGGCAATCTGACTGAGATTGTCACTCTGCCACCCAAAAATCCAAGTGTTGTCAGGTTCTGCAGGAACAAGGAAAGGAGCTGGCCATGAAAAAAATTCTACCTTAGAGAACCAGTTTAGTAATCTTTTATTTTTAAATACTTGTCCAAGTATATTCTATTATTACTGAACTGTCTTGATATTAATTTCAAGTGACTCAGGTGTTGCACTTGGTTAGTACCATGCTGTGATTTGACCAAATTACCTATTTAAGCAGTGTGCTAAACTTTGTAACCTGTTAGGAACCTACACATGTGCCTTCACTATGTTCCGGTATTGTGCTGCTTACTCAGACCAAATGAGAATTTGGCATCACTGGCTGAAAAACTCCCAGATGTCACTTCTGAAAGCTGGGTAATCAGAAGCCAGTAGTTCTGAGGCTACCTCTCAGCACGTATCAAAATCATTTTCATCTTAAGTAGCTTTATGGTTTTGTTCTGTTTATCTTCCTGTAAGTAACAGTCAATATTCCACTCATTTGTACAATTTTAACTAGGCAGAGAGCTAAAAGAATGCCAAGTAACTGTCATTTCTCCTGGCCTGCATGAAGACAGTGATGAAAGGAAAGCTTGCCTCCGTACCTGCTGCTGGACAGAACGGACCCCTGAGCACAAGGTGCAGAAGTGCCCAGAGAAAACCAAGTGGTACTTAAACAGAACAACTCAGCTCAAGGACAGTTCTAGGCTTTTTCCTCATTGTTTACTAAATTCTACAAAGAAAGCAACTGCTGCTCGTTCTTGTTTATAAAACAGCATTTTTCAGTGAGGTTAAGGTTTAAATACTTACCTCCTTACAAATTCAAGCATTCTTACAGCTTCTTGTTTGAAGAAGGTAAATGCACTGACCTCTATAAAGCCTTCAGAGTTCTGAAATTTCACAGGTCTAAGTTCTATCCTGCAATTTACCTGCAACTGGGCAATTCTATAGCTACACTATAGAACACTAAAGTGGCTTGGCTGCTGATTAAGAGTACGTGATTTCACAAAAAACTTGATAAACACAGGACATCCTATAATTTTTTTCTTTGAGTCTCCACCACAGTAGTGAGTGAAGTAACTAAAAATGTTCATTCAAAACCAACAGAATATTTGCATGCTATTATTCTCTAAAGCTGACAGAAAACGCTGCAAAGAAAACAGTACTTCAGCATGGTTAGGTAACTTCAATCTACTGGTGTTCTATTTTACATCATTTTGCTAGAGCAGAATAGATCCTTAGCTCAGTAAGGTTAACAACTCACTTTTTCTTACTGACAGCTTGTCTAACTTTCTTCTCCTCAGAGTTCTCTCCATTGTGCTGTGACTGCTTGGTATCTTGAGCTTCAGACCCTCCATTCAGAACCTTTGAACCTTTAAAATGGTAGAATAAGAAAACAGTACTGCAGGCAGCAAAACTGCTATAAAAAGTCCCAGATAATTTCTTTACCTTCATCAACTCGAATGCTATGTTTTCCCCTTACCATGATACCCAGCAGCTGAAACACTACAAAAAGCAGTAACTTACACTGCTTCAACTTCTGAAAATTCCACACAATGAGCCTCATCCCATAATTTTAATAATGGGAAATGAACATTGTATATATATCTATTTTACGTGATTTCAAGATCTTCTTGTGCTTGCTAGGTGACACATAATAGGACTAATTCTTATTTATATTCTGAGCAGTGACAGAATATACTTCAGCAGTAAATTCAGTTTACCACTCTAACCTGGTCAGACAATTTGGGGAACTTCTGATACTGTAACTGGAGAAGTTACTAGTTCCTTGGATTCTCATTTACTCTCAACTCTAACAAATATGTATATAATTAAAATATGACAAACTATATATAAATAAAGTTTTTAGTTACAGCATGCAATTGTCAAGCAGAAAAACAAAGCACTAAGTAGAAACTGTATTTAGTGAAGTCAAAGCAGAAATATTTAACGTCTTTAAAATTTCTGTGATGAATACATGTTTTGCTCTGGTATTATAAGCCAGTGAATTTTGAGTGAATTGTTGAGGAATGTCACTTTAAGTCAGAATTGACAGTCCATTTTATTTGAAGTTTACTGAAAAACCTCTATTAAACTACTGTGCTACAGCAAGAAAAAAATACAAGACATTACTCATCTGAATACTTACAGGCTAAGAAATGCTAAAAAGCAGACAAGATTGTTTTAAGATGACATTCTAGTCGTTGATCTATTTAGATTTGCTCAGAATCAGTTCTGAACTGGAATGCCAATGGAAACTTCAATGAAACAATGAATGCTATAATGCTTTGTTACAAATTAGATACTCTGAAGCTGTACTTCAGCTGAAGTACAAACTGCTGTAAATGTCTGCTTCCTGAAGACAGTAAGAGTTCAGCAGTTCAGCTTTTAAGATGGCAGAAATACAAACCCAGGGAACCAGAATTTCTTTGTAGCAAATAAAAAAAAAAAAAAATCCACTTGCATGAAATTTCCCCCTACTCTGATAGAATCTCTTACCATTCTCCATCTGACTGGGCAACGACATGTGTTTCAGTGTGTTCTGCTGAAGTCTAGTGTTAGACTTCCCTGGAGTAGCTTCATTAGTCAGACTGTATAGGAGGTCTTTCAGTTTAGATTCTTTATTAAAGTATTAGCTGTGTTGATCACTGAGTTGCAGAAAGATCTGTGTGGAACCTCTACTACAACATACATTTTCTGATTTTTTGAAGCTTGCTCAGGAAGTGATGAAGGCTAGTTCTTTTGTATGACAAGAAACTAAAACCAAAGTAACTTACCTGTTTGGTCCTTTTCAGTTTTTTTGTTTGCTCCTTTCTTCCACTGTTCTTTGGGTTTGTTGGCTTCCTCGTGCTGCTTCTGCTCAGCAAGTGATTTATTTAATACTTGGGAAAGAACAGAATCTCCTTCCCCAACCAGAAACATGGTCTTGAACTTGTTATATAGCATTGTAGATTTCTCCATGATAACTTGGCTAACTTTGAATTTCCGTATCTGAAATCAAAGTAATCATCAATGAGGTCCACTTAGGTATTCAAATACCTACGGAATTTCATCATGTGCAAGATTAAATTTTCAATTCAACCTGAAATGGGATCATAGACGTTTACACTCTCTGAAATAGCACAGAACCACAGAATAGGCCAGGTTGGAAGGGACCCCTGAGAGACAGATAATCTGTCCAACCCTTTGTGTGAAAGGGAGCCTGGATGATATTATCAAGCATCCTGTCCAATTGCATCCTGAAAACCTCCAGTAATGGGGACTCCACTGCATCCCTGTGGAGGTTGTTCTAGGGAACAACTGTTCTCACTGTTAAAAAAAAATTTCTTTGTCAAGATAAAACCTCACCTGGTGTAACATGTACCCACTGCCCCTTGTTTTCTCTATGCACTTCCTTGTGAAGAAAGATCCTCCATCCTCTCTGTAGCTGCTCTTTAAGTGCTGGAATACTGTGATGTTTGCCCTGAGACTACTCCAGGAAGAAGAGACCTAACTCCAAGTCTTTCCTTACAGGGCAGGTTCTCCAACGCTTTGATCATCTTCATGGCTCTCCTGTGGACCCCCCCTCTAGTCTGTCCACATTGTTCTTGAATTGTGGGGACCAGAACTGGACACACTACTCCAGTAGTAAATAACACTGAGATCAACTTAAGAAAACACCCAAGCTACTTAAACTAACATTGCAGATCTCACCTTCTTTAGAGTCAGAATCATCTCTGTATGTTTCTGAGCTTGTTGCATTGTGACTTGAAGGGATGCAAGCTCATCGAGAGCCTCAATACACCTGTTCACATCCTGTATATAAACAAGAAATTAGTTTGAAGACATAACTTAAAGGTTAATAATCCTTACTTAGCCATACTAAATTAATTTCCATGCTCAGTGATACCTTCCCATATCATCTTTGGCTATGTACTTTAGAACATTTTATACAGTCAAACTTGCAAACAAAAATTACTCTCAGTTGCCTTTTAGCTACTTCCGTAACAAAAGGCTCATGCTATCTGAATAACAGTTTTTAATAGTAATACTATACTTTCAAAATACAAACTCAAGCTTTATGCCACTTTCAAAATTCTAGTACTTTGGTGCTTGAAGCTGTTCTCCATAGTCAGTCTTCTCCATACACAAATCTTCCCAAGTGACTTGTCACTGAGAAGTTAGCAAAGCTTCTTAAGTGGATGGCAGTTAACACACAGAACTATATCTTTGTAGATTTTTCAGTTAAAAGTTTGATCAAAGACACAGTATGGGGGACACCCAGAAGTAATGATGTGAACTTCTAATCAATTTTCAAAAAACACTGTAGTAAAGTCTCCTTCCCATGATACTTGGTTCTCAACTTCCCTATCTTCAGCTACTCTTGCTTATGTTACTTCCTATTTAGAACTAACAAGATTCATCACCAGCATAAGTCATAATAATATTCTGCATCTTGTATAGAGTTGTAGCTCCAGTTCTCAAGGGAAATTAGTAGTATTAAAAAAAAATAAACATATCAAGACCATGCTCATCAAAAATCTTATCAAGTTTACTTGATAAATACAAGTGTGATAAACCAAGTGTCCCTGCTGTAGCTCTACAATGTTCTTCCCAGTATTCTAAGATATTTGCTCCATTACACCTCTGAATCAAAGGTTTGGTGGGGTTTTGGGGCTTTTGATTCTTTTTTTTTTTTTTACTCATTTTTTTGAGGGGAATTTACTATCTGGCTCAAGACAGAGCAATTTACTTAAGCCAAACTATTATGCTATTATGCTGTGAAGTAAAAGCTTTCTAAATTTTATTTAAGGTGAACCATATTTCTGAGACAAAGTATTGGCATAGACTTAAATAATTTAAGAATAGGCCACACTGTAAATGAATGTTTCATATTGAACACTGTGGTGGGTTAGCCTCGGCCAGCAGGCAGCTGCCCATGCAGCCACTCCCCTCTCCCTCCTCAAAAGTGCAGGGGGACGAAATAGGACAAGAAAGCTTATGGGTCAAGATAAAGACAGGGAGGTTGCTTAGCAGCTACTGTTGTGGGCAAAACAGACTCTGTGTAGGGAAAATTAACTTATTACCAACTGAAATAGATTTGGGTCATGAGAAACAAAGACAAACATTAAATCAACACTTTTCCTTCACCTCTTCTCCCCTTCTCAACTCCACTCCAGACTCCTCTCCCCAGCCCGCCTCCAAGCAGGGCAGGGGGGAGCGGATAGTCAGTACATCACAGCTCCTCTCTGCAACTCCCTCCCTCCCGCTCTCCACTGCTCCAGCTTGGCCTCTCCCCACAGGCTGCAGTCCTTTGGAAGTCTCCCACATAGGCTCTCCACGGGCCAGTGTGAACATCTGCTCCTTCCTGGTCTCTTCCACTGACTGCAGGGAATACCTGCTGCAGCAAGATGGAACACCTCCTCCCTTCTCTGACCTTGATGTTCCCTCTGCTGTTTCTCACTCTTTCCTTCCCTCCTCCTCTCTCTGCCCACTGTGTTCTGCCCTGTCATAAATGTGTTCTCCCAGTGGCACCACCATCTTGGCTGAGGGGCTCAGCCAGGCCCTGCGGTGGGTCCACTGGAGCGGGCTGGAACCAGCTGTGTCCAGCACAGGGCAGCCCCCTGCCCCTACTACCAGAACCTTGCCACCAACACGACGCTGAGTTCCTGGGCTGGAGCAGCTTTCTACTTCTCACGCTACTGTACTTCTTCACTGACACTCATATTTTCTCACTATACAAATGGCACTCACAAAATGAAGATGCTAAGCCAAGGGCTGAATCTCTTTCAGCATCATCCATACAATGGTACTCTGAAAGTTAGGCAAAGTCCTCAAACTGATGTCACTCTTGCAGCTCTCCTTGGCCAGTTAATCATAGTGAGAATTTTCTTGTCTTCAGCAGTAGATAAAGACAGGGGTAGAACTAAGTCTTTTACTTGCCTTTTCAGTTGTGTAAATGGAAATGGATTTCTGAAGACTTGCATCCCCTCCAGGACTTCAGATAAGAGACTGGTAAAGTATTTTTGGTCTGGTCTCATGATTGCAGGTTTCAGTTAGAGAAAAAAACAAACCAAAACCAAAACAAACGCACAAATAGCCCTGAATTCAGAAAACCTGGTACTGTTCTAAAGCACCAAAGGCATAGACATTAAAAGAGGCTTAAAAAACCATACAGCTCTGGTCCTTCCTTACCTGTTTTGACTACCCAACCGTAATAGTAGATTCCAAGGTGTAAGAATTTAGATGAACATATGCAAGTGCTTGACAACCTGCACTGTAAAAGAGCTTTTTCTTATGTTTAAGCAGTATTTCCTGCAGTGGTATCAGTGTTCATTGCCTCTTGTCCTTTCACTCAGAAGAGTCTGCTTTGTCATCTTTCCACACGCCATTCTAGTATTGAAACACATTGAAATGATCCCCCTCTCAGCCTTCTCCAGGCTGAACACTCCCAGCTTTCTCAGCCTCTCCTTCTATGGCAGATGATCCAAGCCCTTAAATTCATTTTCGTGGCCCTTTATTGGGCTACCTACAGTATGGCCATGTCTCTGTTGTACTGGGGAGCCCAAAATGGGATCCAGTGCCATCACCTCCTTCCATGTTTTGGCATCTCTAACGCAGCCCAGGATGCTGTTGGGCACCTTTGCCACAACAGCACACTGCTGGCTCAAGGTAAGATTGGTATCTACCAGCACCCCGAGGTCATTTTGACAAGCTGCTTTCCAGCCACTCAGTCACTGGCCTGTGCTGATGCGTTCGGTTATTCCTCCTCAGGTGCAGAACTTGAATCTTTTTTGAACTTCATAAAGTTCCTGTTGGTCCATTTCTCCAGCTTATCTGAGTCCCTCTGGATGTCAGCACACCCATCAAATCTTTCCTTTCAGTTTTGTATCACCTGCAAGCTTGCTACAGGTGTGGTCTGTTCCATCATCCCAGTTATTAGTGAAGATGTTTTGACAGTATTGACTACTAGTGATTGGCCTTTACCTAGAGTCACTACCACTGATCGCAGTCATGCCCAGCAGTTCAGCCAGTTTTCAGTCCACCTTACTACCCACTTACTTCGTCTGGAGTTCAACAGTTTGTCTATGAGGCTGTTAGACAGTGTGGAAAGCCTTTTTTAAACTTAATACAGACAACATCCACTGCTCTCTCCCCAAGCCAGTCATCACACCGGAGGTCAGTTTGGTCAATCAGGATTTCTTCTTCACTAACATCCCTAAAAGTGAGACAGATGTCCTGGTCCCTTCTCTCCAGCATGGTCTCTCAGGAGAGACTTCCAAGCAGATCCCTGTGGAAGCGAAAGTCTGCTCTCCTGAGTCCACGGTTGTGATCCTTTTTTCCCTGCTCCTTCCTACCAGGATCCTGAACTCCACCATCTTAATCACTGCAGCCAGGGTTGCCCCTGACCAGATCTTCCCTATTTATAAGAATCAGGTGTGACAGAGTGTCATCCCTTGTCAGCTCCTTGATCACCTGTGTTTGGAGGTTATTACCTTCCAGAAGCTTCCTGAATTGCTGTATAACCCCCATGTTGTCTCTTAGCAGATACCAGGATGGTTAAAGTCTCCAATGAGGACCAGAGCCATCTCCCAATGGCCTTAAGATGACTTCATTCTCTACTTCTGCCTGATCAGGTGATCTGCAGTTGGCATCCTCAGGATGTCACCCATATTAGTCTGCCCACTAATCCTGACCCATAAGCTCTCAATTAGCTTATCCTCTGTACCATTGCAGATCTCCACACATTTCCACTAGTCTCTCACACAAAGACTTATCCCACACCCCACTAAATCTGTGATGCCAATGAAATCATAGCTCTGCAACTGCAGGTGGATGTCCAGTTCCTCTGGTTTGTTCATCATGCGGTATGGATTAGTGTACAGCCACTTCAAAGAGGCACCTAGTTGTGCTGACTTTCCAGAAGGGTTATGAGAGCCTTCCTCACCATGCTGCACTGCCAGCACTTCCTCATTTCTGTGCATATGCTTGTGGTGATGCCATTTCAGTCCTGTTCTGTTGAAGAATTCTGTTGATTACAAGGCTACTTATGTTTACATCACACCTTGCATCATTTGATTGCCATCCTGATCCACCACTTCCTCACCTTCTCCTCTGCTACTGCTCCTAGTTTAAAGCTCTTTCACCAGGTCGGCCAGACTTTTGGCAGCAGTACTTTTGAGTGGATCCTGCCATCTCCTAGCAGATCCATTCCTTTGTAAGTCCTTTCCTCAAGAAAGAGACCACCATCTGGGTCCCCATACCTTGACCACAACCCTCAGAGTCCCAGAGTGATGCTTTGCAGGACTCCCTTGACCCTGTCATTGGTGTCCAACATAGAAGAGCAGCAGCAGTTAATAACTAGTCTTAAGGCCAGACGACCCTCAACCATCTGTCAGTCGTGTTCCAAACCTGAGCCCCCAGCAAGCAGCGGACTTCCATTGGCAATGAGTGGGGTCAGCACGTGGGGGTCTCCATCCCTTGCATCAGGGAGTCTGACACGATCCCACTCACTGTGTCCTTCTGGCGATTCTGCACAGCTCAGGCTGAGCTGTCACAGATGCTTCATTTGACAGAATTCTGTCTGAATGCTACCAGTAAATAAATTGTGAAGGACACTCAAACAAAACCAATTTTACTTGCTGACATTGATCTTTTAATGTCCACAGTAGCTGCTGTTATCTTTCAAACTGGAAAAGCGTAATTCTCTCTCAGAACATGAATTAAAAACAAGCACACATGCCAAGTATTTCCTACTGGTATTATACATATAAATCAGTCTTAAAAAAAGAATACTTACAAGATTATCAATTTTCAGGGAGTTCTTGATTTCTGCATGTATCCTTTGAAGCCTAGAATCCACTGATGTTTCTGAAGATTAAAAATAGTATGCATCAATATTTGATAATCATTTTAGGTTTGTTTTTGTAGAAACCTTTCTATACATCTGAACTTCACACAGAGTGCATAACATGGACAGGCACTCCATATAAGATAATGATCCAGGTGCACATAAATATACCACAGGGCTTTATCAGAAATAAAGTACACAGCTTTTTAAAACTGGACACTATTAGCAACCTCTCCTAAGGAGTTACAAACTGAAAACAATTTGCTCTTTCGATAGGCAGCTATCACCTTCTACTTGTGGGCCAGGTTAAAAAGAAGTTTCAATAAATACTAAGAGTTACACAGCTGGAAAACCTTTAATGACAGGACACCTAGACATTGATGGTTTTGTTTTCAATAAATTGGAAATGATTCAAGTTCCAGTCCAAATCCATCCAAATAAAATGCTCCTCATACACATGCTCCAGCAGGTGTGCAAGAAGAATGAACACGCCTGTCTCTAACTCATGTGCTGAATGCCTGTTTGGATTTTTTCACACTGTGTATGTACTGTGCATGTTTTCTGAACAACACTGCAAGCAAACAGAGGTTCTTTCAAGTCTAATCTACCTTGAATGGGTTTGGGTAATTTTTTGTTGTAGCACCTGTCAACACTGGGTTGGTTGGAGTCCATGCCACTGGATCTGTACTATACTACATATTACAGCCAGTGGTTTGGATTGCCTTGAGAGATGGGAGTACTAAAAAAAGGAATGACTTATCCCTTTGAAGGACAGTTTGCAAGTATGCATTAGTAGACAAGACTACAGTAATCCAAATCTAAGCCTCTTGCTTAAGAAGAACAAGCCTCTTGCTTAGCAAGCCTCCTGTTTAGTAAGAGATAGTATCTAAGTACTTCACGATGTCCCAGACTATTGTGTTATGAGAAAATAGGAAGGAAAAAATGAAGAGATGAACTAAAGTGATTCAGTTCAAAGAATAAGACCTTCTGTTTGTTGTTCACAAACAGAAGGGATCATTGAGGCTTAAAAGCTCAAATGACAGTAAAATGGGAATAGCAAAGACCTGTTCTAACGTTCTAATGCACTGAAGAAAAGGCATAGAAGAACAAGAATGCACTGTTTCACAGACCTGAAGGCAGCAATCACGGATCAAACATCTTGGACCGAGACCCCACAGCCACCCTTAGCAGTAAATTACCTTATCCAGGCAGATAATTCTGTTCAAAAATTAAGATGACCAAAAATAGTGTTTAGCTTCTTTAAACCAACCTCTCTTCTTTTCCATCTTCTTAACTTCTGTTTTCTTGCCTTCTTCTTTACTATGCCTATCAAAAACATCATAAAGTGTTGTTAATATGTTGTAAAGTCTGTTTTTCTATCTTTTTTTATTTCTCATTTTTAGACGAGGTGCAAGGTTTTGGAGTTACTGTGTCAGTAAAACATTAGTATGCAAAAACCCCGAAGAGCCAAACTCTAGTTTTCAAAAACTGAAATAAATCAACAAAATTTGTTAGCTGAGATACTGCTGATAAATCTTTCATACTGACAGAAGGTTTTCCCCTGAGGCAGCAAATTAAAGGATTTTAAAAGTAAGTCACATTTCCAAACTGTATTTTGTTTTGTTTCCATGTACAAATTGGTAAAATGGCATTGTACAGAACTAACTTATGGAAAACTAAAGTATTTTTATTATGATGACAAAAAGATTAAAACTATTTAATGTTACCATGGGGGATTATGGAGAGATAAATTAGTCACAATCAGTTCCTATGTGACTTACTTTTCTCATGTAATTAATTATAACAGTGTAAATATCCTACAACTGACCATAAATATGTGAGTAATAATTTAAATATTCTTGAAGCAAACAGTAATAAAGGAAAAAGACTTATTACAAGTTAATTGAGATATCCTGGCTCTTTCTAATTGTATGACTAAAAATAAAGCTGGACTCAAAACCAACAAAAAAATCATCTCCATCTAAGTTACAGAATGAATACAGGCAGAAGCCTTTCAAACAAGCTTTTGAACTCTTCATTCAGAAAAGATCATGAACCCTGTTTAGCAAGTCCTTGGTCCTGTCTTACTAAGGGGGTGCCTCATTTTAGAATTTCCATATTTAAGCACATCATGATTAAAAGTTCTGTCACTAATTTTCTTCCCGTCATAGTAGTATGCATCCATAAAACAACTAGGCCTGCGTGTCTATCATCTTCCGCGTTCCTGTCATACACTACCCAGTTACAGATTCAAGAGTTTTAAAGTATATAAGACTATTTTACTGCAACTAGCAGTACAACCTCATGCCATTTAAACAGTATGTGTAAACTTTTTATATGTACAGAACAATGTACAAAGCACTGTTACTAGGCTTAAATAAGTATTAATGAAGTAGCTACAAAGACTAGAAAACGAAAACTATGCTGATGAGAAAAGTAACCAAAAAAAGATATCAGCCTATATTCAGTGTATCAGTAGAGGAACTTCAAGACAGATAGCATAAAAATAAGTCTTTTTTCTTTTTATCGATATTGATTTTTGTTGTATTAGCCATCAGCTATAATTAAATTAATTATACATTCATTAACTACTACTCCTTTATCTTACTGAAACAAAGCTCTGTCTATCCTCCAATGCATAAACTATGACAGCTCTTTAAAAGTAGAAGAGACTTTATTATTATAACCAAATCAATATATGACAGTTTGATTGCAGAAATCAGTCAGCATATGTCAGATTTAGATAATGATACATTAAGAGCTGCAAAGATGCTAAGGACAATTTAGTGTCTCAGGTTGGAAATGCTTCTATTTGCTACAGGCAAGTAATCAGATTATGTTTCCAGAAGCGTGACAGGAAGAAAAGGAGAAGAAAGGGCTAGAGGATAAAAGCCCCCAAACTAGATTCTTGTTAATGAACATGAAAAAGGTAGAATTATGTTGTTATAGATGAAGGGGACCATCATCATCCTCCTCCTTCCAAATTTTTGCCTTTTTCTTCTGCCTTCCCAGTAGCTGTGGTGTCCAGGGTTTGAATGGTGTTTTTTTTTTTTTTTTTTCAGTAGCAGGGGAGGGGGCTACAATGGTGGCCCCCTTGAAGAGCTTCTCAAAAGCTCCCCCAGCTCCAAGTCAGACCCACCTCTGCACCAAAGCCGAGCCAATCAGCTGCGCCTCTGTGATAGCATATTTAAGGCAGGGAACCTGGTGAGGAGGAGTTGAACTTGTGAGGAGTTGCAGCAGCTGCCTGAACACCAAGGTCAGTGAAAGAACAGAGAAGGAAAGGAGTGGGGAGGTGTGCCGGAGCAGAGACCCCCCTGTATCCTGTGGTGAGATGGCAGAGCGGCCCCCCCCGCCACCCATGGAGGTCTACAGTGCAGCAGAAACTGATTTATGGTCTGTTAGGGGCCTTGCGTGACCAATTAAGGGGGCTGCAAAGGAGGCCAGGATCTTGTGGGAAGAAGCAGCCCCTGCTGTTGTAGTTTGGTGCTGGGAGGATTGCAGCATGCGGGGGTGTCCCACGTTGGAGCAGTGCAGGAAGGGCTGCAGCCCATGGGAGGGAATCCAGTTGGAGAAAGTTGGTGTCCCACGCCAGAGCAGCGAGGGAAACACCGCGGCCTGTGGAAGGGACTTACATCGGAGAAAGTTTGTGGAGGACTGTCTCCTGTGAGAGGGGGACCACAATGGAGCAGGGGGAAGAAGTTCCAGAAGCTCCCCCCACCGAAGATGGAAGAAGAGGCAGCACTAGCTGCACCCCCCGTTCTCTGCCCCTGCGCCACTGTGGAGAGGAGGTAGAGATACCAGGAGCAGAGCTGAGCCTGGGAAGAAGGGAGGAGTCAGGGGAAGGTGTTCTCTAGATGTGGCAATGCTTCTCACTGTCCTACTCTGTTAAGTGGTGGTGGTGGTAGTATCTGTAATAAATTTATGTTATTTTTTTCTTTCCTAATGATTCTGCCTTTTGCCTGTGACCATAAAGGGTGATTTGCTCTTCCCTGTCCTATCTCAAATCCCAAGTCTGGCTTCTTTTCCCCTTCTCAGATCTGAGGGGGAAGGAAGGAGTGAGCGGCTGCATGGTGCTCAGTTGCCCTCTGAGCTCAAAACACAACATGTGGGAATAACATGTGGGAATAGGAACTTCCTACTCTCATGGTGGCAGCTTGTTCACCCATTTGCAGAATAGCTCTTGAGAATGAGTCAGATATCTTCTTATTGTCCCACCCACCCCAGGTTCTGGTAGGATCTTCTCTCCATTCTAATACTTCATTCATTTGTGATAAATTACCTTCCAAATGCAAAGTGTTCTTGGTATCACTCAACTGGCTTTGTGGTGCTAAGTAGAATTGTTAATTTTTCCCGTGTTCTGACAGTGTCTGCTCTAGCTGCCAAACATAAAAGGAAATGTTTTCCAGGTAACCCTATGCGTTCCACAACCTGACCAAAAATCCATAACCATGGATAAACAGGGCCTACCAGTTTTCAATCTAATATATCCAAAACAAAGAAAAAAATATATTGTTATCCTGACCAGTTTTTCCAGACTGATCCCTTTTCACATGGATATTCTTAGGTTACTTCTAAACAGAACCCACCAGCTGTTTTCTGCTATAAATTCTAAGTCACTGAAAAACTGACATCACTTAATTTCTAGGATCAACTCTTCCCACACTCCCATAACAGAACATAGTGGTTTAGAGAAGCTTTTTACTCTCTCTTTAAAAAGAAGTTGAAATAGACAAAGAAGGGGTGGGGGGAGAGAACAACAGAAAACAGTGCAAACCAGTTTGGAATTTTTTCAGGAATCGCCTCCTGTTTGTTTCAAAGCACTCCTACAACTTGTGGACACTGGATTTCAAAATATACTCACAATTCAGATTCTGTCTGTTCCTCGTGCTTACGCTTTCTTTCTGTTACTTCTCTCTCATGTTGGCCTTTTACAACGTTCCTCCTGTGTGCTGCCTGAAAGCCTCTTCCCCCTTTTTTCTTCTGTTTTTATTTAGGATTTTAGAATTGGAAAGAGAAAAGTAATATTATAAATTAGGTTCTGCAACTTTTGTTCTATATATCTGTATTAACCACCCACAGGTCTCCAACCTTTAAGATCTAGCATTAACTTCAAGAAAGATGTTCAGTGCTACAACTTTCCTCTATAATAAATATATCAAAAAAGCAAACTTATACCTTGCCACCTTCATGTTCTTCATCATCTTCAGTATCAGAAGCTGATACAGAACCCAATTTTGCAGCATTTTTCCTTTTTGGTTCAGACTCTTTCTTTGCTTCCTTTTTGTCAAACTCCTTCTTTAATTTATCTTCTTCCTTGTGACTTTCGTCATCTTTTTTCCCTTGCTTTTTCGGCTTTTCTTCGAGTCCTTTTTTCTTTGCTTTCTCCACCTCCTGAGTACTAAAACACAAATAAGCATCATAACCATTATTAGGAGTGCATTTAAAACACCACATTCTTCTAACTTAGCAAGTTGTTGTGTTTTTTTTTTTTAACCTCAGAACATGAAAAATGAGGAAGTTGATTCACTCTCAATTCATTTAATGACTCCTCAAAAAATACTCTGTATTTTTCTAAAATTGTAGCTGAGTGCCTAAGCAAAAAAAAAAAAAAAAGTCAGGACACCCTAATGAAGCTAACGTTAATATATGGGCATATATCCAAAATCAAGATAATGCTCCAAAGTTTGACACACATATGTATGTCTGTAGGACCAACACTGCGTGCAGTATAAACTAGTTTTATAAAGTATACTTATTTAAGGTGTGCATTGAATCAGGATTAAAGGGAAGGCAGGGACAGATGTTATAGTGGGGGTCTGCTACAGGCCACACAACCAGGAAGACTGAGTGGATGTGGCCCTCTATAGACAGCTAGGAGCAGCCTCACATTCACAAGCCCTGGTCCTCATGGGGGACTTCAACCACCCCGATACCTGTTGGAGGGACAACACAGCAGGGCATAAGCAACCCAGGAGGTTCCTGGCATGCATTGATGGTAACTTCCTTCTCCAAGTGATAGAGGAAACAATGAGGAGAGGTGCTATGCTGGACCTTGCTCTCACCAACAAGGAGGGGCTGGTGGGGAAAGTGAAGCTCAAGGCCAACCTTGGCTGCAGTTACCACGAAATGGTGGGGTTCAAGACCCTGAGGGCAGCAAGGAGGGCACACAGCGAGCTCGTTACACTGGACAATAGGAGAGGGTACTTTGGCCTCTTTGGGGATCTGCTTGGTGGAATAGCATGGGATAAAGCACTGGAGGGAAGAGTGGCCCAAGAAGGCTGGTTAATATTCAAGGATCACCTTCTCCAAGCTCAGGAGTAATGCACCCTGACAGAGAAGAAGTCAGGTAAGAACGCCAGGAGGCCTGCAGGAACAAGGAGGTCAAGCACAAAAAGGAACCCTACAGAGGGTAGAAGCAAGAACAGGTAGCCTGGGAGGGATACAGAGAGAACGTACAAGCAGCCACAGATCAGGTTAGGAAGGCCAAAGGCCTGACACAATTACGTCTGGCCAGGGACATGAATGGCAACCAAAAAAGCTTCTACAGGTACGTCACTGATAAAAGGAAGACTTGGGAAAATGTGGGCCCTCTGTGGAAGGAAATGAGAGACTGGGTCACCTGGGACACGGAGAAGGCTGAGGTACTCAATGACCTTTTTACTTCAGTCTTCACCAGTAAGTGCTCCAGCCACACCGCCCAAGACACGGAAGACAAATGCAGGGACTGGGAGAATGAAGAACCAGCCACTGTAGGGGAAGATCAAGTTTGAGACCATCGAAGGAACCTGAAGATACACAAGTCCACAAGACCTGATGAGATGCATCCATGCGTCCTGAGGGAATTGGTAGGTGAAGTGGCTAAGCCACTATCCATATCTGAGAAGTTGTGTCAGTCCAGTGAAGGTCCCGCTGACTGGACAAGGGGAAAGATAACCCCCACTTTTAAAAAGGGGAAAAAAGAAAGACCCTGGTAAGTACAGGCCAGTTACTCTCACCTCTGTGCCAGGCAAGATCATGGAGGTGATCCTCCTGGAAACTATGTTAGGGCACATGGAAAATAAGGAGGTGATTGGTGAAAGCCAACTCGGCTTCATTAAGGGCAAGTTGTGCCTGATAAATCCGGTGGGCTTTTACAATGGTGTTACCACGCTGTTGGGTAAGGGAAGAGAAACTGACGTCATCTACCTGGACTTGTGCAAAGCATCTGACACCGTCCCGCACAACATCCTTGTCTCTGAATTGGAGAGACATGGATTTGACAGATGGACCACGGGGTGGATAAGGAATTGGCTGGATGGTCACACCCAAATAGCTGCGGTCAATGGCTCGATGTCCAAGTGGAGAGCAGTGATGAGCAGCATTCCTCAGGGGTCGGTGCTGCGACCAGCGCTGTTTAACATCTTTGCTGGAGATGTGGACAGTGGGGTTGAGTGCACCCTGGGCACGTTTGCCGATGCCACCAAGCTGTGTGGTGCGGTCGACATGCTGGAGGGAAGGGATGCCACCCAGAGGGACCTGGACAGGCTGGAGAGGTGGGCCTGTGCAAACCTCATGAAGTTCAGCGAGGCCAAGTGTAAGGTCCTGCACGCGGGTGGGGGCAATCCCACGCACAAATACAGGCTGGGCGACAAGTGGGTTGAGAGCAGCCCTGCGGAGGAGGACTTGGGGGTATTAGCGGATGGAAAACTGACTGTGAGCCAGCAGTGTGTGCTCCCAGCCCGGAAAGCCAGCTGTGTCCTTGGCTGCATCGAGAGAAGTGTGGCCAGCAGGTTGGGAGAGGTGATACTCTCCCCTCGACTCTGCTCTCACGGAACCCCACCCGGAATACGGTGTCCAGCTCTGGGGACCCCAGGATAAGAAATATATGGACCTGCTCAAGCGGGTCCAAAGGAGGGCTGTGAGGATGGTCGAGGGCTGGAGCACATCCCTTATGGGGACAGGCTGAGAGAGCTGGGGGCTTTCAGCCTGAAGAGAAGGGTCCCAGGACACCTTATAGTGGCCTTCCAGTACTTAGAAGGGGGCCTACACAAAAGATGGGGAGGGGATCTCTACCAGGGAGTGTAGTGATAGGATGAGTGGTAATGGTTATAAACTAGAAGACAGTAGATTTAGAATAGATATAAGAAGGAAATCCTTTCCTGTGAGGGTGGTGAGACCCTGGCACAGGGTGCCCAGAGAAGCTGTGGCTGCCCCCTCCCTGGGAGGGTTCAAGGCCAGGTTGGACGGGGCTTGGAGCAACCTGGTCTAGTGGAAGGTGTCCCTGCCTGTGGCAGGGGCTTGGAACTAGATGATCTTTAAGGTCCCTTCCAACCAATACCATCCTATGATATGCGTAGAATCATATAATGAATTCTACACAGATTTTGCAAGTTAGGAAGTTTAAGATCTTCTGTCTCTTGTTCCAGAAATGTACGACCTTGAGCTGCTATGTATTAATTACCTGAGCTGTAAATAACAACATCAAAGCAAACAGTAACTCATGTGGAATACTAGAGGGGCAAAAACCTGTCAGGAACTCAGTACTAATTATGAAATCTTAACATAAGGAACAACATGTTTTACATTAAAGAAGCTTTATATTAAGAAACAAACCAGAACAACTTACAAGTCGGTCTCTGCAAGACAAGATGGTTTCACCAACTTGGGTCTCCCTCTTGGTTTTGGAACCTTTACTTCAGAAGCTAATATTTATACAGAAATAACAGGTTACTCCACAACCACCATCTGCTCCTTGTTTATGATGAAAGATTCTTACTCAACAGACAGAAGCTACCCTTAAGTGGAAATATATACCCTAACTTTGTAATTACACAAAGTTCAAGTGTTAAGTGAGTACCAAACTTTAATCAAGATCCCTTTGAAAAATTAAAGTGTTGATAGTTTTTTTTAGCTGACTGGTAAATTGAAAACTTTGGTGTTTTTTTAGCCACAGGTTCCAACTATCAATTCTTGTTGTTTTTGCACTCTGGTGCAGTTAGAATTTGTTTCACATTGCCTAACTAATATGAAAAAAATCTCAAATTACAGAAAGTATGAATTAGAGAATGGAATGAAGTCATTTAGTGTCCACATTTATACAGTCCATTTGCCATTATTTTTAGATATATCATGGGGCTCCCATCATTCTTCTTGATAACAAACCACTGTCAAGAAGTTCTACCACCATGCTACAGTACAGAGCATGGTGGCTTTGCATTTCCTCGATTTTACCATATTGCTAGGAGTAAGACAAATAGCATATATGCCTTCTTGGCATTTAAATCCTTCAAATGCTTGTCTGGTAACACAGTGAACATGTGGTTAGGAAACCTAATATTCAGTGTTTCAACTCTTGTTGGTGTTAGCACAGAGCACTGTTAAGCAAGAGATGCATGCATCATATCAACACCAGAAAAGGCTGCGTAGTACATATTATAAAAAGGTATTTTATAGAGGAGATGACAGCATCTCTAATAGATCCTTTCCTGCTATTAGACAGTAATTAGTAAAAAAACCCTGAAAATTTGTAAAGATAAATCCACATACAAATTTTTAAAATGTGTATTTAGTATATGTAATGAAATGGGGGGGAGGTGCAAGGGGGAAGGGAGCTGAAGTAACACTATTTCCTCACAGCTTCCAGGGAAAAAATAATTAAGTCCAGTTAAGTGTGGCTGTACTTTCTACAATTTTCATATTGTCAGCAGATACAGATGAGTATAAATTATCTTTTACTAGACTAGATACACACACAACGCTCTTAAACTGCTGCAAGAACTGTTTTCCAATGTAGTAGTTAATGATCAATTCAAGAGTATCTGCAAGCTTACCACAAAAATTCCAATAAATTAGACCACTGCTACTTTGAAAGAAACAATCAGTGAAGAATTATCACCAAATGGCTCTAACTATACATATAAAAAAAAGCAATTTTATCTTCTTTTCATTTACCTATCAATATACACAGACTGCCTTAAGCACCTTTTTAAGCAAGTTGATCCAGCTCTTTGTTTTTACTGTCCTCAGAGCCCCAACTGCAGGTTCTGTGTCCCCCCCAGTTCTCTTCCTTGTGTTTTATGGATATTCTAACACAGTTAAAGTATTTTATAGATCTTTAATGAATATAAACCTTTGTGGAGCAACAGTGCACAAAGAGCTATCATATATCTACATTTAGCAGCATTCTACAAAGAAGGCTTTTCTAAAAGTGATACTTGTACCCAAAACCAATGAGTCTTATTTAGAAGACTGAGCAATAATGCTAAGAATTTAAATCCATCTATATCTTAAATTTGTCAGTTTGAGATGAGATCTTCTCTCATTACAATCTGTTAGCAAAGATTGCCTTTAGCATGAGAAAATACTCTACTCTTTAGGGGAAAGAGACAACTCCACAAAGATATTTCTACAGTAAAAAAAAAAAAAAATCCTTCTTTTGAAGTTACCTGATGGTTTTCCTCTTTTGGGGCTTACTTTCGGAGACGCTGGCACAGGAGCTACTGCTGTCACTGCTGTTGCCGCCGCTGCTGCTTCCTCAGCTTCAACTTGTTTTTCAGCCTAATTTAAAGAATGAATTTCACAAGTGAGAAAGCACAGGGCACCAATATTAATTACTCTCTTAAGTTTTAAACTTCTAGAAATGCGTTATTATGGTATTGCTACTACACATGAAAAAAAGAAGTTTCCAAATTAGTAACATATTGTATTTAAATAGCACTAATGCCAGTCTTTCCACACCATCACTACCTGATATTGTAATATTTCATATAATTTCAACCAGCCCATTTGTTTTCAGAACAGTAAATGATCTTGGTCCAATAAATGAAAAAGATTATTTTTAACATCACCATAACAGCATGCTAAACCCCAGCTTTAAGCAGGTAAATTCAGGGGTTTTTCCTCCCATATAAAAATAATCTGCTTTTAGATGTAATCTCCCCTAGCTGCATCAAAGTATCAAGGCAGTAGATGGAGCTACTCAGAAAAACACTGGCTTCTAGCTCTGTAGCCAATTACTCAACAAAAAACCTGTACTGCACATAATGACCTTCATCTACATAGTCATTTTAGGGGGAATGTGTTATAAAGACAGATGGAACTTACAACAAAAGAATATATTGATAAAAGGATACGTATCTGCCTGCAGAAACATTCCATATCCATACATACAGATAAAAAGAATTAAGAAAAATCCCAACTGGAGAAAATATTCACATAATTTAGTGTCCTGGATACAAGAGCATCAGCTAGCAGCAACAGAAAAGTTATGGGCAAATATGTATTTATCTTAGTATTTTTTGTGGGCACTTACAACAAAAGACAATTTTAAAGAACAGAGACAAACTTAAATCAAGAACAGAGTAGAGGTACATCTCTCATTAAATGTGCTTTCCATCAGCCTACAGAAAGACTGTGACTGATGACAGCAAAATTCTTTTACAATCCCAGGGGAAAAAAAAACCACCATGTTTCTTAAGGCAAATAAGAAATGCATTCAGTCATATAACTGCATAGCTAAGCCTCTTCTCTGACCCACAAGCACACTCCACATCCCTTGAAGCACTATGTTTCTCTGTTCAGCAATGGCCTGTAGTAATGCACATTTCTGGTTAAACCCCTTGCCACACACAGCACACACCGACATAAATCTGTCAGCTAAAGCTAGTAAATGTGACAGAGGAAATTTTAGGCCTTATGATGTCAAAAAACCCCTCACCTCAAACAAAACAAAAGAAAAAACACTACAACCATGGGATTTGAGTGCTTTTTGAAAGAGCAAAGAACAATATCGTTTTGTGTGTCATCTGTGAGGCTTCTCTCCCATTTACAAGCTGAAATCACATGTATGAATAGTCAGACACTTTCAACTTCTTGCTGTTTCAGACTAGCAGCTTTCTTTGAATTTAAGTTTTTATAAAATACAGGTTTTTTTTTTTAAAAGTATTCTTTAAATTACAATTTTAAAATATTAAAATAATTTTTGTATGAGCATCCGAACTCCTATCTTTCTTTTTTGTGAAGCAAACAATACTCAGCATGATACTTACCTGTGACAACCATACTAAGGTCACAGTAACTTCACACTCATCCAATCCCTGCTGTCCGCACTAATATTACAAGCTAAATGGTTTCGAATTAAAACTAATCTTTGCCCCAGTTTAATCTAGTTTTGAGTTGGGTTAGTGCCCTGATCTGGCTTGCTGTATGACCACATGAACATTAAAGGATGTAGCATGCCGAGCAAGCAGCTGGTACTGCCTTTTTCAAAGCAACTCCAACTTTTCCTAGGTTGAAGATACCACAAAATCACAACCTCGTGAAAAGGGGGAGTATTTCAGGTGTTAGTGCAATGTGATGAAGAAGTTAAAAGAATTTTTTCAGAGCTTCAAAACAGACTATTTTATTAGCAGTCTAGTAACAGTTTATATAACAGCTTCTTACATGCAAGGGAATGTTTGGGAAAAGATGGGAACTCCCTACTCTACATTAAGTTTGAACAGAATTAAGACTTGTAAAACACCCTCTGGGAAAACTTTCATTCCTACACATCTTTCAGCCATTTGAAAAGGGGGAGAAGAGTGTCAAGCACTTAAATTTATGCATAATCTGTCATTAAAGACAGTAATATCCAGTATCATCACATCCAAAAATTCAAGTAAGGTGAAGTAATTAAACATATTGTTACCTTTCTTTTTCTTCCTCTTCTAGCAACTTTAAGAACAGAAGCATCACTTGTTTTCACCACATCCTGCGAAAATTAAAAATGGTGCTAAGGGGCTTAACAAAACAAAGATATATTTTAAATTATTCTAATTTTTTCCACAACTGAAGCCTCTGGCACATGATTTAAACAAGAATCCTGTAACACATATGAAGACACATCTGCTTTTAAATTACTGAAATCCTGATTAGCTGGTAATCAGTATAGTATGATTTTAGTCTGTTTGAATTGTTTTATCTAGTCATTTAAAAAAAGCACATTTACCGTACAGAGTAAATTATAAAAACCACACTGTTCCACCTATTTTAATGGATCTTATATAGAAGCCAGACTAAGTTTCCACTCTGATGAAAGCTTCAATTCCTGTTCACTTCAGTAAGTGGTATAAACACAAGTGAACACACAGAAAGTTTTATGTAATTGAGCAGCTCCCAAGACTGTCACAGTAGTAATAACTGTAACTTCGTAATACTCAGTAATAGATTTATATCAATCAGCATAATACTTGGATGTTCTTTGGTACATAGAAAAAGCATTCACATACTTCTTTACTATTTTTTTCAGAAGGTAGATCATCTTCCTTTGAAGTACCCATCCCCTTTTCTTTTGTTTCAGCTTCTGTAGGTACGTTATTATTCCCCTTTCGGGCTAACTGCAAAGCGAGTCAGAGAGTAAAAAAAGGCATAAAGAAGTATTTCATAGTGAAAAGAGAACAACATGCTAATAACCTTCAGGTTGCTTTTCACTTTAAATGGTTTAAATCTGTAGATACAATCCTTTCTTAGGTACACATTAAAAGCCTAAGGCAGGACCACTTTCTCCAGTACACAACTGGAGACAGTTGTCAGAATAGGTCAAAATACAGCAATGTACTATGGAGGAGTTTAAATTCCACTTCTGTTCATGATAACATAACTACACTTTTTCACTGTTTCACCAGTACATGAGTACTTCTAAGTGTTTGTGCCAACATTCAAGATTCATTAATATCACTGCTCATCTATTACATACAGAAGGATATCCAAGTCATAGACCACATTTAGCAAAGAGCCTCTTTCTATTAAATTAAGACTTCATGTAATAAACAGACAACAAACAAGTTGTTTTATCATGTGAGAGAGTAATGAGTGGTAACTGGTGTCATCTAATTTATGCCTTTTTTCCGATTTTGTTGGGGTTTTTTTAAACCTTAAAATACTAGTTTTCATTTTAGGTGAGCAGTTAAGACTTGAAAAATTGTTTCTAGTAATTTACTTGAAAATACCACACATTTTCTTGTAGTCTATGTATGTGCACATTTTTTAGATCTTCGGCTCATTCTCTCAACTTTAATGCTATTGCCTTGTACCATTTCCAAGCACCTTTTGTGAAATTCCCTTTTAAAGTAGCTGCAGCTTTTAGAATTTCAACATTGAACAAAGTAGCTCAGGCACAAGGCTATCATGCAATATTGCTAATTACTTGAAGACATGTTGTCGTGGTTTAACCCCAGCCAATAATTAAACACCATGCACCCACCCACTCACTCCTCCCCACTCCCAGTGGGATGGGAAGGAAAATAGAAGAAAAATGTAAAACTCCTGGGTTTAGGTAAGACCAGTTTAATAGCTACATAGAATAAAATATTGTAAAAATATTAATGAAAAGGACCTTAAGAGAAATACAGAAGGACAAAAGAAGCAAATGCAAGGCAGTTACAATGATAAACCACTGTTAGTTTAAAATATTTCAGTACAAACTTGGAAATACAGTTTTGACTGGTAGATCACACACAAATACCATCACTTACTTTTGAGACAGTCTTTCTTCTTTTGGCTCCTGTTTTTTCTCCACTCCCCTCACCAAGTTCCTGAACAGTTGATTTGCTAGGAGTGTTAATGGCTGGATGGGACTTCAAGATAAAAACATCAAAAATGAGATCTAAATCCCTTCCTGAACTACAGAGTAATGACAGTGAGAGGTGTTCTGAATAAAGCATCATGCTAAGGAACCCCTTATTAGAACTACAACAATATTAAACTACATCTTCCTTCATGAATATCCACACTTTTTCAGTTTAAATTGCATTTTCACTATCAAGCTTTCAAGCTCTAAAGCTGTAACAACTTATTTTCACAATAAAAATGCTGCAATGCAAGTTGGTTTTGTTTTTTTTTTTTTTTAATTATACATAAGGAGAAGTTTGGTCAAATACAACTTGTGATGCAACTGCATTTTTCAATGAGCTATCAATCTTAAGTGAACCAACTAACCACCTGTTCCTGAAAACATGAGCAGGAAAAAAAAATCATAATAAAGGCTAAAGAATGAAAATTAAACATGGAAACTGAGAAGGTGAATCCAAAATTATGTTTGTGGTTTTTTTTTTTTTTTTTTATTCATTCCATTCATTGTGGATAGCATTCTCACTCTTAAATATTAGCTCCTTAAAACAAAGCTGGCAAAACTCCCATCTCTTTAATTTTTTCCCCCACTGAGGAAGTGGTTTTGGATTTAAGCCCAAGCCACAATGTCCCTTCTGCCTTCCACCTCCCTTACTAACAGTTACAAGAAACATCTGCAAAGTATAAATACTGCTTTCAGAACATTCCAGCCCATTCTGGCAGTTAAGCAGAAAATGTGGCTCTCAGAAGAACTTACCAAGATAAAATATGCCAGTAAAAGGACCGAAAACAGGAAAAAAAAGCAAGTCAATCCCTCTATATGAATAGCTGACAAGTATGTCACTTTATCTTGTATCCAGAATAAAAGCTTGAGTTTGCCAGCATCTCCATGTGATTACCCACTCCCTTCTGACTTTACCCGCTGTGTGGCCAAACACAAAATTATCTACTCACCCTGAATTTTTAGGCTCTGCAACCAAACTGTGCTTCAGTAACTGTGCTCCAGTAACTGTGCTTCACTTAACTCTGAGAATCTTTTTTAAAATCAAGTAATTGTATGTAGAGCAAATATAGAGATCAAGAAATATCCTGAGATACATTCATTCACCTCCAAGACCCCAGCTAAAAAATGTGGCCATTCAACAATGTGTACTGAATACCAAAACATATCAATTGGCTATGATATACTGCTTTAAAAATATTGTTTGAAAAATAGTGTCTTTGCTTATCAATGAAGGTAACTTACGTTACCTTTACTCTCATAGTCTTCATAACCAACTACTTGTCTTTACTTTCAAGATCATTCACTGCCTACACTGATCCTCACACACACACTGCACTGGAGAAAACAGCTGGCACCAGCTGCCGGGAACCTGAGAGGGCAACCTGTGTGGAACCTGGTCTGGGACTGCCCGGGGCTGGTCACAGCACACCCCCCACTGGCCCGGCAACCAGCAAACTGCCCCGTCACACACACCAAACTGCACTGACTGGAAACGGAATGGTGCCTCCGCCAACATGGCTAGGGGAAGAGTTGCTGAGGAGAAGAGCAGCTGCCTGCAAAGGGCTGGAGATGCTGCACAAGGGGGACACTGGCAGACAGACAAGACACCCACGCAGGGCACAAAGGACAGAGAGGCAAAAGGTGCCAGGGCAGGAGGAACAGTGGAAAGGGAAGGCACACGAGGAGTCACACATGCCAGGCTCCAGCACAAAGGAGTTGCCTGAGCAGGGACAGAGAGGGGACAGAAGGGACAGCTCTGAGGGGACTGTGGCCCATGGAGCAGCCCATGCCGGAGCCAGTAAGAAGCAAGGAACAGCAAAAGTAAAGTAACCACCACACATCGGCCTCTGTCTCCTGCACCACCATCACCTCACCCAAGGGACTGACTACGATGTGTGGTGAGGGTACTGGAGACCACTGAGGCGAGAGCAGAGATGGCTGGAGGGAAGTTGAGGCGTGTTTCTCTATGCGTTTGTTTGCCTTTGTTTCTCATTATCAGAATCAGTAACAAAAAGCTTATGTCAATTGGCTAAATTGTGCCAAATTCCCCGACAAGTCTTTTGTTGCTGTACCATACCCCTCTTTGCCAAATATGGGAAGGTGGAGCCTCAGAAGCTGATTTCAACCACTCTGCTACCCTTAAATCAGGTATCAGCTTCCCTGTAAACTCCCAATAAAACCGCCTAAATATCTACATCAAGCACTCTTACACTTCCTTTCTTTCCCTGACTACAACATCCAGAAGCTCTACTCCTCAGAAAAACCTTAGCTGTTAATCAAGTGACACAGAGACTGTTATCAAGCAGATAAGCATCCTGCCCTTAGCACTATGAGCGAGAAACTGTACGCGTTTGTTTCTACAGCTTTGAGAATAGGATGCTAAGGCAACATCTTCATGAACAGGAAAGCTACAGTGAATGTAAAGGAATTAAGAACATGAAATAAGATTCCTCTGAAGTCTCATTGCTATGAACTGTATACTATCCTGCAAAATCCTGAAGAAATAAAGCTCATTTTAGCACATAAGCTGAAGCAAGTAAAACCAAAACCAAAAACAAAACATCACACTACAACTTTCTTATTCTTGGAAAAGTGGGATGTTCCACCATCGTATCTGTAGTCTTTGGCAGAACAGTGACATAATATTTCAATTCTAAGAATTAAATCCAAAAGGATTTTAAAAATTTTGTGAAAAACTTTGTGAAAAAAAACACGGAATATCCATGACTGATTGACTTGACATCAAAGATATTCAGAGAAACTGTCTCTGAGGCAGATCCTTACTGGCAGATTTATTTCAGATCAGGTAACACTTACTCTGCCTGTTTTACATCCTGATCTATTTTACAGAATGTAAAATCTAGTCAGACGTTTGCAGATCTATTCCTTTAGCACCAACAAGATCTGCCTGCAAGTAAAAGCAAGAGCTGCCTAAATCCTAAGGGCTTGATTTGCTCCAAATAAAACTTGCTTTTAACAATCCATAGCACAGGATAGAAAGAGAAGGCTATCAAAAGAAAGTCTTTCTAAAGTTAAGGTGTAAATTCAGAAGAAAATTTGTACAAGTCTACTGCATTACTTCATTAATTCTCTAATTCAGTCTGGTCCAACCCTCCTGCTTAAGCAGGGCCACCCAGAGCTGGCTGTCCAGGACCACATTCAGATGGCTTTTGAGCACCTCCAACAATGGAGACTCCACAGCCTCCCTGGGCAACCTGTGCCAGTGCCTGGTTACAGTCACACAAAAAAATGCTTCCTAATATTCAGAGGGAACCTGTGTTTCAGTTTGTGTCCCTTGACTCTGGTCCTGTCACTGGGCATCACTGAAAGGAGCCTGACTCCATCTCTTTGCACCCTCCCTTCAGGTATTTGCATACATTGAGGAGATCGCCCCTGAGCACCCTGGGGCTGAACAGTCCCACCTCTCACAGCCTTTCCTCACAGCAGAGATGCTCCAGTCCCTCATGTTCTGGGCCCTTCATGGGACTCTCTCTCCAGTATGTCCATGTCTCTCTTGTACTGAGTAGCCCAGAACTGGACACAGCACTCCAGTTAAAATACCCCTAACTAAGAAAAGTTTATTCTTCCAGACATTTTTAGGGTCACTTATAGAAACAGATTTTAAATACAACTTGGGGAAAGAAAAACTTGTTTTTTTATATAAATAAATAGTTGGGAAAAAAAATGACAAAGAATAACCCCGTGGCTCTAGACAGAACCAGAGCAGTTCACAGAAAGACCCTTTGAAAGAGCTTATCACCAAAGCTGAAGTGAAATATCTGAATGGAACTCAAAAGGTGGAAAGGACTACCCCACAGAAAAGCTGCTAGACTAAGATAACAGTCTGTATGTATCTCTTGGCAGCATGTTTTGTGTATTTCCAATTGGAAATGTATTTACGAATGTCTGAGATGCTATGAAAGCAACGCAGAGCACTGCTTAATTGAAGTTACTGACTCATTCTGTGAAACAAAAATATTAGACAAGCTTATTTGTGCTTATTGTTTATACCCAATTTTCACCTTGTTAGAATGTCTGGTAACATACACCTCAGATATGGTTCACAACTGCCTCAGCCATCCACCAAGTAGCTCTCCTAAACTGTCAAAGAAAACAGCGAGAAGGTGTACTGACTCACATTTTACGGTAGCAGAAAGAATCTGTCCCTTATTAATACAATCATATTTACACTGTGATGAGAGGATTAGCATCCTTCCATATCCCAGAGTAGAAAAAGTGTACATCTGGAGTACATCATCTTACCTCTCAACTCTACTTCAGAAACTCCTTAATTCTTTATCCATGTTCTCCTTCAAACTAGAAACACAGTAACTTGGGATATTTTATGAAGCAGGGATTAACTGGTGCTGAAATGGCAATCTGGCATGTTGTGCAAGAGCAGCAAATAATACCAAAATATACTGATTATTTATTATTACTGCAGCATTGCCTAGAAGACCCAGTATGTGATCACAGTCCAGTGTATGTCCAGTGTACATGGCAAAACCAAGAGGCTACAGAATGTGCAGAGCAAGCAGGCAAAGACAAAAATGAACAAGACAATTTATTTGTCTTCAGATTAAATTTGGATCTTTTTATTGGTAGCACTTTATAGCTCTAGTTTAAGCTTGGAATGTTTACCAAGAGGTCAAGAAACGAGGAACTACCGGTGGACAAAAACCTGAATCTAGCTAAAGTCATGTGACAGTTTAGGGCCAAAAGACAAGCTTCCCATTACTTCCAACCACTAGAAGAAAAATACTGTATGCTAAGAAAACACGTACTAAAATCTTAAAGATACTTGTGGAGAAAAGCACTTGAGCTTAGAGGACAGAAAGAAGTAACATGACTGAGTTTCCAAAAATTCTAACACTTTTCAAGCACAGCTGTACAGTTCCAAAAGTAAGTATCTTAGGAGTATATATAGTTATAAATAAGCATATACAGCTGTAAGTAAAACCTGATGTGTACTGTAAAAAGTGTCAAACATTTAGGCTTGTGCTCTGAAATTGTCAATATGTTCCCTTGTGAGCTTACTATAATTAACAGACATCCCTAGTTAAACAACACCCTCCCCATTTCTTTTATGCTATTAATACCAGAGATCAATTAAAAAAAAATGCTAAAAAAAAAAATTGGTTTCATCCGCAGGTAAACGACAACAATAATTCATTACCCTACAGCAGGGAGACACTCATTGCCTTTTTAACCCCAACAGTATTGTAATAAAGATTTGCAGACTCCACATAACTTACCTGATGATGAGAGAACTTCACTCTGGGATTGTTGTCGATTTCCCACAACCCTTCATTAAAACCCTTTCTTTTATTTGGTTTGCCATATTTCTCTTTATTTTCAGCATAAGGGAATATGTCCTTTGGTCCCAAAAATGCCCTTAAGGAGAGAAAGAACAAAAAGAACAAAATTTCGCATTTTAAATGGTTAGTCTTTTCAAAGAAGCACCAAATGTTGTTAAGATATGAAATTCATTACTACTGCAACTAATTCTGCTATATAAGCGTCTTTAGTTCTCTCAATTTTTGCCACCAAAAGTCCAAGTTTTCCATTACTACCACCATATGTACGGACCCAACTTCTACCCAGGGTGTTGAGTGTCTGTGCAAGAAACAGCCAGTGCTGCACCTTAAGATGGCAGCTGATAGGACAATCAGCCACGGTGAACCAGAGCAATTAAAAACTGAGTAGTTTGCAAAAAAACAGAAAAAGCAGTTCCTTCCTTAGGAAAAAAGATCAGGCTTAAATGTTAAGAATAAAAAAAAAAATCCTTGAATCTGGACAACATAAGGCAAGAGAACAATATAAAAGAGAAGGAATAGCTTCAAGCTAGCAAAACAAATCTTTCAAATTTATTAGATTAAAAATAAGCCAGTTAAAATACAAAATTTAAGAATTTTTAGTGTATTGAACACAAAGAAGCAGCACTTGCATACACTGACTGCCCAAATCTTTGTAAGAATGCTATGTAATTCAGCATTAGTTCAGTAGTTTTTCAGAGTGACAATGGGACCTTATAACTTGATTTACTAAACATAACCAATAAAAACTTTAAACTGTTCCTTATTGCAAGTTTCTCTTCCAATCCTTTTCTTGATGAAGTAAACAAAAATATTTGATTTTTCTTTAAGCTACTCTTTTAGTAGATGCCTGCATATCTTTACAAGACAGACAACGCTCCTGCATAGCACTACCCCTACTGTAAGCTGTGTAAGTAGCGCTTTTAGCCTAGTAGCTTCTCTCATATGTCAAAGTCACAGTGTCCACGCTATTAGCTTCTCTAAGTTAGACTTGAGAAAACTAGTTAACATAGTACTGACAACCAATATTTTGGTTTATGCCAAAGAACATCAAAGATTATTTAATTCCTGCTCTACTTGCATGACCTTTCAAGTTAGGATTTCACTGTAGCAATCCATATGCTGCTAACAGAAAAACACAACACCTTGGTGGTACATTCTTACTTTGACTCGTGTCTAGACACAGCTTTGTCTGTTTGCATATATGTTAGATCCAACTATTTGAAAAGTTGCAAATACTTGCTTTCTAAAGTGTCAGCTCATGGAAAAGTTAAATAGATACTTCTAAGCTCCACTGTCCTATTCTCCTCCTCATCTTTAAAACAGAGCTCTTAGAGACTTACACCCTACTGAACAAAATGAAACAAACAAGTAACATAGTATCATCTAGAAAGCTTAACCATTTCCTACTCCAGCAGTAAAACACTCACCTATGTGTACAAAGTATTAAGTAAGCCACTGTAACAGGTCAGACTGCAAATCAGCCCCCTCTTTGCAAGAGATGGTTGGAGAGGATTCAGCCATTGGGGGAAACATGCACCTGCAAAGCCTACTTAACCAGACCAAAAGGATTGGGAGGGAGACAAAGAGAAACTGGAAGACACAAAAATAGGAAACATTGCCTTCCTTCTTCCCTATGGCCTGAAGGGAAACATTTTTCCAGGGTCTGTAAACCTCTCATATTGCTCAGGCTTTGAAAAACACTAAACACCAGCTACTGTGAAAAGGTCATGTAGCTTACTGGGTTGCTGTAGTTAAATCCCCATGTATTAAAAGGAAAAACAAACAAGAAAAATGAATGAAGAGAGATTAATATATAGGGTTCGGAAACCAGAGTTCAATGTGACTGACTTTGTTACCATCCAAAATTTGCAAAAATACTGGCACAACAGATCCAAATAAAGCTTTTATTTAAAAAGTATCTATTTTATTACTCTCTTTTAGGATAGGGTTGCTACATTAAGACAGTATGGAAATAAACCAAACCTCAACCAAATTCCCAGAGAATATTTTAAGAAGCACGTACCTATTCACTACACACAGGCAACAACACATTTAGTTGTGTTTTGACAAAACTGAGCTAAAATCAACAATAGCAACCAAAGTACAAGTTTGTACTTGTTTACAATAATCTGCAAAACTGAATTAATAGTAGTCCTAAAAGTCAAGTAAGAATTATTCCCAAGCCAGTCTTGTTTTTGTTTTCCCCATGACTCCTCTTTTACAACTAAAACCATCCACACAGCTAGAAAATATCACCCTTTGTACAGAAGGACTTTAGTGTGATTAAACTTGTCATCTGGATTTTCAGAGTTGACAGTACTTACAGTAAGATAGGCTGTATACATACAGCCTACTGACATGCTGAAAGTACATAGTGTCTAACTTCACAGGCGTGTAACTCTGTGAGAAGTACAGCAGAGAACAAGTTTACCAAATCTATTTTGATTCACATGAAAAAGTACATTCCCGATGAATCACTAGGTCACTATTTACAGCTACAAACCTAAAGAAAATTACATGCTGCTGAAGAGCATTCTCATTTTTTACCTGATCTGCTCCTTACTATTCTCATAGATATCTGCTGTAAGCAACAATAAGAACAAACAAGAAGCACGGGAGTTTCACCTGTTACCACTTTATGGAACACAAGGTACATGACATGCTTAAAGAACAAATGCCATGACAGCTGGGTCATGGAACATCCTGTACTTTGCAATGGGTATGAAACAGATCAAGATGTTTCTCATACATTGTATGGAACTCTGAAACATAGCAGCCTTGAATCTACAGCCTAACAAAACCCAGATCACAGTAAACTTTGTTTTGCAATAAAATCAGAGTGAGGAATAGACATTTCAAATTTATCCATGTAAACTACAGGAAAAAAAGAAAACTTCCAGGTTATGTCTTAGGAGGCTAAGCTAAATTTAAAATTGGTCATGATGCTTCTCAAAATTTGCAAAGGTATTTTTAAAGCTTTAAATAAGGAGTTATTTCTGTCTCCATTATATTCAATCTGCACCCCTGAACTTATTTACTTACAACTGCACAAAACCCCAGTACAATCCATAACGACACACACATTACCAAGGGCAAGAGCAAAGCAATATTGTACTTTCAGCTGCCAAAAAAAAAACAAAACAAAAACAAAAACACTACAACAAAAAAAAACAAACAAACAAACAGCTAGGGAAAACATAAATTAAGAGAAATATAACCTGCTGTATTGTTTAAAATTATCATTTAAAAAATGGACAATATTCAAAACTTGCAACCCTGAATCAAATTACAGGAATGCCTCTTTACCCACAAAACTACACACACACAAAAATATAAATTAAAAAAAAAAAACAAACCAGCCATTGAAATGAGAACAGTCAAAGAAATGCATGGGTATATGAGCCAAGCATATAGAAGTCTTTTTCACAGGGAAATCACTTCTTAAAAAGGAACCCAGTAACAAGTAATATCAAAGAGAGTAGAAGATGCTTACTCTTTAATTCAACAGGGCAATGTATCTTGTCTTATCGTGGCTTACTAAAAGATAGATGTAAAGTACCAGATTAAAGCAATTTCAATAGATATTTAGTAAGATGAAGATAAAAAGCAAGGCCTTTCCACAAAATACATGAAAGTACTTGTATACACAAGTTTTCTATCTCTGATCTGCTTATGTACCAATTGCCATTTTATTAATAAAACCAGCAGAATTAAAAGCACACCATTATAGGTTTTGGTTCCCATATCCTGCTGACCCCACCACCACCCCCCCGCCCCACAACAAACAAATCAGACAACAAATGTAGCACTGAATTTGAAGTCTGTTGGGGTTTAACTTGAGCCAGCACCTAAGCACCACACAGCCACTTGTTCACTCCTCCCCCCTCCCAGTGGGATGCGCAGGAAATTTGAAAAAAGAAAAAAAAAAAGGTAAAACTCATGGGTTAGTATCAGCTTAACAACAAAACAAAAAATAACAAAAATAATAAAAAAGATAACAATAGTAATGATTAGTGGATTGAAAACAAATATAACAAAAAAAGAGAGAAACAAAACTCAAGAGAAGGCAAGTGATGCACAACCCAATAGCTTACCACCTGCTGACTGATACCTGAGCAGTGATCTGGCCCCCCTGACCAACTCCCCTCAGTCCATGCACTGAGCACGATGCTCTATGGCATGGCATATCCCTTTTGCTAGTTCAGGTCACCTGTACTGGCCATGCTCCCTCCCAGCTTCTTGTGCACTTGCTTGCTGGCAGGGCACAGGCAACTGAAAAAATACTTGATTTAGGATTAAGTGCTACTTAGCAACAACTAAAACATCAGTGTGTTATCAACATTACTCTCACACTAAATCCAAAACACAGCACTGTACCAGCTACTAGAAAGAAAATTAACTCCATCCCAGCCAAAACCAGGACAAAGTGTTAGAAATCTACACTAGGACAACCGGTCATGCTGTAAACATGATAATTTTCGAAAAGACTGAACTGCATAAAACCCAGAATATTTACAATCAAATTTAGAAGTGGAAGAAATACAGTCCCTCAAAGCAAATGCTGTATGACTGCCAGATGCTAGCATTGCTGAAACTATCTAAAGATAAGTATTTTGCAGGTTGACAGGTATAAAGCTAACTGCACTTCCTCATTTTTCTATCCAGGTCTTATAAAAAAACAACACCCACAACCACAAGACTCTCCAGAAAAAAAAACCCAAACCCCAATACATGATTATTTGTCTGCTTCTCAAATTTTGCCTATTTCATTGTTCTCAGCCTTATTTCACTTTCTTTGAGAACATATTGTTGGGAATTTTGAGGATACACAGGACTATAAAGTCCATTACTGAAGAAAGAAAAACCTATCAGTCATACCACTGTGGGTAGGAGTTTTTTTTTCTTTTGAGAAGGAAGGTGTACATGGTATGGTTATGATCTACCACTCCCCTGAATAGCTTAAGCAAATGTTAGAGAAGCATGTCTTCTCAAAATAGATTTACTTAGGAAGAGTTGGTCTGCTACTGAATACTATAGCTCAAAACACAGTACATTCCAGCAAGCTGTTAACTTCTTGTTATGGCATTCTGCAATGAAAAACAAAAAAATGACCCTCAAATATAAAGGACTTACGTCTCATGGGTGCCAAAAAAGAAAATAGGCAATTTATTTGCAGGAGACTTTACTGCTCCTTCGGGAACTTCATCCACCTAAGGAAAAGAAAGACTATAGTTTAAGTAACAGTTATGAACAGTCTAGGGAAAAATAAGTAAAAGTGTTAAATGTTAAAAAAAAAAAAAGCTACAGAGAAGTAAAGCAGGTCTCAATATCTCTTTTTAACTGTATGTTAAAAAATACAGCAGAATCAAAGACAGTATTAGCAACAACAGGAAATGACAATACTGCTTGTGCTACAGCCACACTTTCCACATAACCATTTTCTTCAAAAGGAGAGACATGATGTGCTACAGGTAAAAGGCACAATTCAATTCCATCCAAATATCGCCCCACCTTCAGCATAAGCAACAGCAAGATTTCCTACCCTTATGCTAAGCTGATAACTTGCCCAAGACCAAACGTCAAGTGCTACAAAAGTGAAAGGTCAGTGAACTTTAAAAAAAACAAACAAAAAAAACAAAACAAAAAAAAAACCCAAACAATTCTTAAGACTGCATCTTAGTTTTAGTCTTTTATCTACATTCCCACAACTGTCAAATGACCTACAAGAGTCACAGAACTTACCCTGTGTCTTCCAAGGGAGCAGGGAGAATGCAAAGGGGGACTGGACAACTTATCACATACACTTAGCTCACTCTGTAGGAAACACTCTTTAGGAATAGATGACTTTAAAAGTAAAGAGTAATCCTGCCATAACTTCGTGCTTCTCTGTTATCAGGAAAGAGCAGTTATCTAGGAAGAGTATTTTTGTACAGTGGGGTGCTTGCACAGCCTCACTCTACCACCCAGCGGTCTTCATTTCTAAAAGCTCAGTTATGCAAATTAGGACAGCTAACGGCTCCCGGAGAGGGCTGCTTGTTACAGCCGGAGCGACTTTTTCGGACACGCGTGAGGCAGCGGCACGCCAGAGCACGGGACCCTCGGTGCGATCCCGAAGGCTGCTCCCAAGAGGGGAGCGCCCCCCTGCCCGCCCTCCCACGGGAGGAGGGGGGCTGAAGGGCCAAGGCGGCTCAGCGGCACGGCTCCCCACAGGTGTTTGAGAGCACTTCTTGCAACACAAAGCCCGCACGCTGGGAGGGGAGGCGGGGGGGCACGGGGGAGGAGGGGGTGCCTTACCCTGGCCGGCCAATGGGGATAACCTTTCATCTTGGCGAAGATCAGGTCTCCGGGTTTGAAATCTCGGCTCATGGTTTCTCACCGACGGGACGCCTGTTGCCGCCAAGCGAACTGGGCCGAGGGGGAGAGGGCTGCAGCTCCGGCCCCCACCACCGACGCGCTGCCAGCCGCCCAAGGTCCCGCTGCTGGGATAAACACACCGGGACGGGAGAGCGGAGACAAGGTCAACACGGGGGAGGGTGGGGGGCGAGGGTGTGGGAACACAAGCGACATCAACAGCGCGCTCCGCAAGCGCGGGAAAGCCCCCCGACCGCTAGCCGGGGGGCACTGCGCCGCGCCTGCCCCTCACCCCCGCCGAGAGCCCTCGGGGGAGCCCAACGGCCGCGCCCGCAGCCCCCCACCCACCGCGCCTTCGCGACACCGACACCACACACATACCCACGCGGGCCAGGCCGGGGCCGGTCGCACGCATCCAGGGGGGCCCGCCCGCCCGCCTCCACGCACACGCGGGCCGGCCGGGCTCTCGCTTCGCCCGCTCGCCGCGGCCGGAGCCCCCCGCTTCTCCAGCCGGCACGACTCCCGCCACATGGACGCACCGCCCGCCCGCCCGCCCGCCCCCCCCCCCCCCCCCCCCCCCCCCGCCCCACATACAAGGCGCGATCGCGTGGAAGCGAAACTCCACACGCACGGCCACCGGCCCTCCCTGCTGCCCGCCGCCGCCACCCCCTCAGCGGCTTGGCGCCTCGCCCCCACCGGGCTGGCGCCCGGCCCGCAGCCCACCTCCACCTCCAGCAGCAGCAGCGGCCGCTGCCGCCGCCGCCGCCGCGGGTAATACGGCCGCGCTCCCCGCTCCCACCAGGAGGGGCGGTAACAACCGGCGCACCGCAACGGGGTGGCGGGGGAGGAAGGGGGTGTTGGGGAGCGGAGGAATCAGAGCGAACCCCGCCGAAAACGGAGGGCTTGGCTCCCGCCACCGCGTCTGAGGGAGAATGGGGGTACCCACGAGAAGGCGCCCGCCCTCCTCGAGGCGGGGAGGGAGAGAAAAAGGAATCGAGCCAACCTTAGGCACCCCCCTCTCCCCCCAGCCATGGAAGTGGTTCGTTCCACCTTCCGCGGGGGCGGGGCGGCCGCGGCGCGGCCGGGGCGGGGGGAGAGGAGGAGGAGGAGGCGGAGGCGGGGTCGGCGGGCCGCCCTCGGTCGCACCGGCGGCGGGGCGGGTGGGGGTTGCCCCGGGCGAGTCGGCCACACGGCTGTGTACCCCCCTGCGTCCTGCGCCGCACCGGGCGGCGGCCGGCCACGCGGGTTCAGCATGCTGCGCCGTGTCACGCCGGGGGCGGCGCTCGTCGCCGCGGCCCGCCCGGTGACAGGCCAGGCCCGGGGCCGCTCGCCGGGAGTCGTGTTCACCAGCGCTTAAGCCTGTGGCCATGCGCGGCGGCCCGTCCCAGCCGTGACTGCCGCCCCGTTCACGGGCTGGAAGTCGCCGGCACCACCCTCGTTTGTAAAGCGGTCGGGTGTGTCTGTCCCCGAGGGTGCTTTTGCGTTTCTGCCACCCCACGTGCCCGGTTACAGATGCTTGCCTTCCCCAGACTTACCCCGTGTCGCTGCCGGCTCCTGAGCCGTTCTGTTCCCCACGCACTCCCGCACTCCTCAACTACTTTTCTTGATGCTTTGATTTCCCGCAATGTCCAACAAACCACGGTTTCGGTCTCTTGAGTCTACAGAGTTCTTACTGTAACTTGGTCGCCATGAACTCCTGTTTTGGGTTGGGTCGGGTTGGGTTTGGTTTGGTTCATTATTTTGGTTTGTTGTTGTGCTTGTTGTTTGGGGTTCTGTTTTGTTTTCCTGGCATTACTGTTAATTCATACTTCACCATACTCCCCTTGTCCTCTCCATTCTCTCCTGGCTTGTTTACCTGTCAGTATTAAGCTCACCTGACACCTGCAAACTAAGACTATTAGAAAATACATATTTGTGGAATAGAATTATTAAGATCAATTTTTTTTTTTTTTACCATTTAACAATTGTGCTGCAGAACAAATACTGATCTTTTGAGGAATAGTTGGAATAACTGTAGGATAAGGCACTCATAAATAATCTTATCAGAGACGGTTTGGCCTTGTAGTGGCAGGTGCAAAGAAACATAAAGAAGCTGCAAATTAGCAACAAAACCAAACCAGGCCAGCCTTGAAGGACAAGATGTATGTGAACACAGGACTGAGTTTGCACAGAAGTAAGGGTCAGCTGGCAAACACAGTGAAGACGACTACCAGCCTTCATCTGAGGACCCCCAACGACCACCCGAAGACTCCAACAGACATGTGCAAGAGACATTAACATATGCTAAATGAGTTCCCAGAAAAGTTATGAATATGATAAAAATACAATGAATATATATGATTAAGGTAGTATAAATGGTTGTTGATTTCATTCTCACATACACACATTAGGAGGAGCTATACCCTGTGTGTCCGGAGCTGTAATAAAGAATGCCTGCTCTCTAAAACTCAAAAATGGATTCTTAGAGAGTGAATTAATTACCACTTTCTGGTAACACACCCATCTCTCAGCATTTCCACCACTGCACCCTCCTCTCCCGTTTCTGCCCGTCAGACAGGCTCCTTGCTGAGTGCATTGCGCACCTCCAGCCTCCTCATGCTGTTGTCCCAAACTCTGGCTTCTTTTACCCATTGTGCAATGAGCCAAAAAAACACAGCTGAAATATTTGTTTAATCCATATCTGCACACAGGGATGAGTGCCTGGTGGTAACTCCATAAAACTAGCACACCACAGATCGGCAAGTGACATATTTATACACTTCAAACTACACAAATATACATCTAATGTAATGACCTTTGGTTGGTTTCTTACCACTTTGTTCCTCATCGGCTAACAACAGGCCTGGTCTCGATTTAAAGTCACACTGTCTTTTTATTACTCTGAAGAAATTCAAAAGGTGCGAATCTTATCTGAGTAGGGGGCTTCTTCTCTTCAAGAGGTGTGGCTTCCACATTATAATGAGCTAAATTCATCTAAAAGACACATCTTGAGCATTCTTTATGGTATCTCTGAGCACATGAGCAAGGGAGGTTTTCTTATTCCTCAATTCATGGTTTCATCTGTTTTTCTCTCTTTGTTTTGAAAGGCTCTACTCTCCTTGAGCCAACTATCCCCTCCCAAGATGTCCTGTGAAATGTTTCTTTTTGTTTTAACCTTTAATCGCTCATCAACGCTTTCCCCCACAATTATCTTTCTTGAAACAGACGACCTCAGATCCAGATTTTAACTGAACATCTCTTTCTCCTCGCCTGCCTGTCCTGTGGGGTCTCATCCTAGTTCTTTTCCCTTTGCGTTGAAAATTAGCCAGCCTGCCAGCACTCTATGGCTTTGGCCTTATCTGATGGTCCCACACAGCACCACCTGCAAGTCACAGTGCTGTATATTTGTGCTAAGACAGGTGCCAAAACTGGCAAAAAGCTGTGAGAGTAGTGGCACACAAAGTTACTGCTTACACAATTACATTGTCCCACAGGGATAGACCTAACCATCTTCTGCTTGAATGTTCATCCTCTACGTGTGGCCTGATGCACAAGTTTTACAGGCTAGTTTACTGCCAGCTGCCTTCTGTGTTACTTGCACACAAAGATAAGCCTTTGTGCGAAGAACCATCTTACTGCTTTCAGTTTTGATACTGAAACTCAGTGTCAGGCCCAAAACACCCACTGCAGCTGCCACAGAGTAAGTTGTGCTTTGTTCTAGGCGCTCTGCTCAAAAGCAAAACAGTCATTTGTAAATGTTAACTGCAAAGCTTTACTCCATCTGTGCTGAGCAGGAACAAAGTGCAGTTTCTCAATGCCTTAAACCAGTCCAATTTGGTTGATTTTCTTGGAAGTAGTGAGTCTCATATCCCTGACATAAGTACCAAGTTTCTACAGGGATAGAAAAGAGCTCATCAGAAAAGACATCATCATCAACATATTAGACAGGGAAAACATTTCTTCCGATGCACAAATGGATGGCCAATTCAGGCAAAAGTTTTTTAAACAAATTAAGACTGAGGTAGACTGAACATCTAGAATTCTTTAGAGGAAGATAAAAGTTTGACAATGGTAGAAATTGTATCTGCATTGGCAGTTATGTAAGTCTTTTTTTTCTGCATTGAATCATCCCTATTTCAGCAATAGATAAAGTTTTATGTATCTTCCTAAATGAAAAAGTGTTGAATACTGCAAAACCTGTGTATGTTAATATTTTGTTATGCAGGAAATGACAACCTGCAGGTATTTCCTTAGCTAAATCACTACTGTGTTTAATCATATAGTTACGTTTGTCTTCCATATCAGATTAAATAAGTTCATATTTTAGTTTTGAAGCAATGTCTTTGGAGTCTCTTGACGCCATGATAATTTCCTCAGCCTTTGGAACCAGTCTTTTGAATCTGACATTTCTTAGGAATCAAAAGCTTTTCACCTTGTATTAAAATCAACAAAAAGCATCTGAATATACTTACTTTTTTCCTAATTAAAGAAACAATTTGAGATGACTTAGTTTCATACAAAAGCAGCGTGTTCTTCAAAAGAGACTAATGTGACTAAAGCATTTTAGAAAGGTAAACAAAGTAAAATGCGATTTAAAGAGTGAAAAATAAAACTGAACAAATCATATTTTGTGTGTAATTGGCCTCATTTGTACATGTTAAGTAAACATAAGATTGAAGACAAACTGTTCAACTACAGACACATCAAGAGGAAAAAAATGTGTATTTTGCAATCCAGACATTGTACTCCTACCACATGGACGCGTGATATGCCATACTGATGCTATATAAACTTTAAGGACCATATCAGCATTTTTAAGCAAATAGTTTAATTTTGAATGACAGATTCTGTAGAGCTTCAGCCAGACCTGCCACCTGATGATCAAGTAAGCAGTTAGTACACCAATACACATTAAGTTGTTACAAGCCATGAATGAACCTCAGAAGTGAAAAACAGTTTTTCCTGGGAGGAATTATGTGTTGTGAGCTTGCCTGTTTGAAACAGCTGTTCCAACTGATTTCCTGCAGGTCTGGATAGGTCCCATTGGGAAGAAGGGTGCTGGCATCCTGTCTACAAACGAAACAGTTGCTTCTTGCTCTGCCACGGCCAGACCCCCAATGAACCACCATGTTCTCCTTTTTCCTGAACATCAAGCACTCTTTCTAAACCCATCATGAAGAGGTTTCTCTGAACAGTGATAAATAAGATAACAAATAAGTTAACGTTGAATTCTATATGCTGGGTTTGTGTGGCAGAGTTTTTGGTAGCTGGGGAGGGGGCTATAGCGGTGGCCCCTGTGAGAAGCTTCTCAAAAGCTCCCCAGGCTCCATGTCAGACCCGCCTCCAGACAGGGCTAAGCCCATCAGCAGCGGTGGCTGTGCCTCTGTGAGAAGGTGCTGAATAAGGGGAACCTGGGAGGAGGAGTTGGAGTTATGAGGAGGATACCTATGTGAACACAGATGTTAGGGGAAGAAAGAGGGGGAGGTGCTCCAGAGCAGAGAGTCTCCTGCAGCCCATGGTGAGTCGGCAGAGCTG